GATATATGCAGAACTGCTACGTGGTCAAGTGTCTCCACATTCATCTCTCACTATAGACTTGACATGAGAGCGAAAAGGGAGACAAGATTTGGGAGAGCTGTCCTTGCATCTGCCCTCCAGTGACGGCCCTCCAACCGGTAAGCCAGCTTGTTAATCACCCCTTATTGTGTGCATTCACAGAAGACCACGCAGAAGAAAGACAGGTTACTTACCTGTAACCATGGTTCTTCCAGTGGTCATTCTGTGGGTTACAGGTAAGTAACCTGTCTTTTTTCTGCACATTCAGTAGACATTCCTATTGCAAGCAAAGTCTGGAGGGTGACAATCTAGGCTTTTAATCTTAGAATGGGTGTGTTTTAAGTGCCATAGTTTGAAAGTGCTGATTGGATTCAGATTTTTATGAATAAAATGTGGATTTTAATACTTCTTTCCTGGTTTCTACATTTTCAAGTATGCTTTTCCATTTTTTCCTATGGTTGTGAACTACTCTGAAGGCCCAGTATGTTACATTAATGACATATAAATAGAATATCCCTACAATGAGATGGAAAATTGGTCCAAACATCAAATATGTTTACTATGTTTTGGAAATAGCCAAAGTATCCATGAGAAAGAAGTAGATTCTTTTGGTTTGTACTAATGAAGGAGGAGAATCTTAGAGTTTTGACACATCATGCAACATGCAGACCATATTACCTGTTCAGAGATCTTCTTTTCCTGTATTACTTAATTTATTTTGTAATCCAGACATGGTAACAACTATGTAATTTTTCTTAACATTTTGTGTGGAACTTTCTTTTGTTTAAATATTCCCCTTGGATGATGATATTAAAGACTTTTCCAAAGACCGACCTTCTTCTAGACAATGAATCTCAAGGGAGTGGACTTTACCTTCCAGAGCTGGATGAACCAGAATACTGTAATGCACAGAATACTGCACTGTGGGAATTGCATACTCTATGGGTGAGTGGTATAGAAGTAAATCTTATTGTTCTGCTCTACGTTTGTAGCTTAAGACAGTGGTCCCCAACCGTTTTAACACCAATGACTGGTTTAGTTGAAGACAATTCTCCCAAGGACTGTGGGGGCGTCTGCATGTGTGTGTGTGTGTGTCTGTGCGGGCAGGTGGGGGTGCATGCATCTGTGGGGGGCATAGGGTGTGCATGGATATGGGGGATGGGTGTGTGTGTGGGAGGACAGGCAGGTGTGTGTGCATGTGGGGGTGGTGGGAGGTGCGAACACATGCATAGGCGTGTATCCTTTTGGCCCTCAAAGATCTGTCTCCATGGCCCAGTCCTTTCAAGGCCACAGAGTGGTACCAGTCTGCAGCCCAGGGGTTGGGGACCCTTGGTTTAAGACATTCTTTTTATTAATATTTTATTAATCTTAGAACTGCAGAGCTGGAAAGAGCCCTATGGATCATCGAGTCCAGCTCCTGTCAAGGAGGGGCAGTGAGGAACTGAACTCACAAACCTTTCTTCTTCAAAAGATAGTTCTTCAACAGTTTGAACCTGAAGTTTCAATTTGGGGGATTGAATTCTCAAGTTTCACTCATTATTTTCAGCTTTGGAAATCTTAACTTTTTTTTAAAAAGCATACAGCATTTTTGCTCTATATTTCTGCTTTGCAAATTCCAATGTTTGCACCATCTCTGAATATTCTAATTATTCAGGAGTTGTTGTCCATATTTGAAGTATCCAAAGCCTCAGTACCTTTCTCTTTGTGGCTTTTATTGAAAGCCAAATTACATTGCTGTATAAGCCTTATTTAGTCTTTCCCAACAGTCTCATCTACATAACGCACATTATCAGGAACAGTGCCAGACCAGCTCCTTCCACTGTCTCTTTAATCATGGAAATGTGACTCTGTGAAGAGGTGGTTGCTCTTTCCAGGTACTGTCTCCATGTGAGCTACTCACCTCCCAAAAATCGGAACTCTGCTTCCTGTGGATGGGCAACCCAGTTACTGGAGTTTCTCCCTCTTGCCAAGCATCCCATTGTTCATTGAGTGTTTATTGCCAAGCAAGTTAATGACTCGGTTCTTCATTAAGTGTCTAGTTTTGGAATGTGTGAAACTCAAAAATACAACAAAATAATGAAATAGATGTTCAAATTGACATGGCAGGTGGATGGGTGGTGTGCTTCCCATTCTATTTCCTGCCTCTCCTTCCTGCATATTTAACCAACAGCTTATAAACCAGAGATAATACAATGTTGATTAATATAGTCTTTGGGGTCAAAGAGCAAAATGCAATGTATTAGTGTTTTTTAAAAAAGGTACAACTCTTAATCTGTCATTAATACCTTTTTTAGAGGCACTATCATCCAATTGTTCAGAAATTTGCGGCTCATCTTGTAGCTGGTGCTCCAAGTGAAGGATCTGAAGCTCTTGGGCATGAATTGAGTCGGAGGTGAGAGAAATGACTGTGTTCACTTTGCAAAATATGTGTAAGATTAAAATAAGATTTTAAAAGCTGCTCAGCTTTTGCTTTTGGCTCTGTATATGATATAGAGTTACGTGTGTGTGTGTGTGTATTAGTCATATTCTGCTTTAGAATGTAAGAACAGCTGTGCTGGATGGTGTGGAAGATCTGGCATCCTGTTTTTCCTAAGCAGTCATCCACTTGATTCTGAGAAGCCCCCAAGCACACCACGAGGGCAGCACAGTGGTGCCCCGCATAGCGACGATAATCCATGCAGCCAAAATCATCGCTATATGGATTCGTCGCTATGTGAAATAAAAAAGCCCATAGGAATGCATTAAAACTTGTTTAATGCGTTCCTATGGGCAAAAAAATTACCTTTATGCGAAAATCCTCCATACGGCCGCCATCTTCGCTGCCCGGTAAGCGAGGAATAGGCGTGAAAACACAGCGGGTGGCCATTTTTTTACCCGGCGGCTATTTTGGAACCGCCGATCAGCTGTTGGGAAAACATTATGCGAAAATCGGTAAGCGATACAGCTTACCGGTCATCGCAAAGCGATATTTTCCCATTAGAAACATCGTTAAGCAATCGCAAAAATGATCACAAAAAATCGTCGCTATGCAGATTCGTTGTTAAACAAGGCACCCGTTAAGCGAGGCACCACTGTACTGCCTCCCCCACAATTTTACAGCTTAAATCTGCAGGTATTACTTAGTAAAGGTAAAGGTTCCCCTTGACATTTAGTCCAGTCGTGTCCCATTCTAGGGCGCGGTGCTCATCCCTGTTTTCAAGACTAGACACGGAACGCCGTTATCTTCCCACTGAGGTGGTACCTATTTATCTACTCACATTTACATGCTTTCGAACTGCTAGGTTGGCAGGAGCTGGAACAAGTGACGGGAGCTCACTCCATTGCGTGGATTCGATCTTATGGCTGCTGGTCTTCTGACCCTGCAGCACAGAGGCTTCTGCAATTTAACCCGCAGCGCTGCCGTGTACTTAGTACCCATGGCTAATTGCTCAGTGGAAGGCACCTTTCAAAATTCCCTACTAGCCTACATATGAAGTGAGGAGTTCAAATGGTTAAAAAAATCTTGATAGAATTGTAAACAGTGTTCACTGTCAAGGGTTATCCTAGTGATAGAATGGAGAGTGGTCTGTACACTTAGGGTGACATAAACCTCCTCTTACTCTGTTCCCCTTCAGTGTTTTTTCTTCTGATGTTCATAGTGTGGCACATTTTAAAACTACTTGAGTTTATATCTGAAGAGTTCCATGGCTTTCTAATCTGTCTACATATGCTAAACGTTACTAATATCTGTGATTCATTTTTTTTAAATACTTGTTCTGAGCACTAGTTTGTGGATTTTTGGTTTGTTGTTGTTGTTTTTGAAATATATTAAGATGAAACTCATGACTGTCCAACACAGATCACCTACAGAACTTTTTGAGGCCTACAGTATGAAAGGAATGACATTCAATCCTCATGTTCCATCAGTTGCTCCCAGGAAAAAGGTATTTTCCTACTATATTTTCTTAAAGCTTGAGATGAGAAATTTTAGGTTGAGCTTTTACAGACGTTTACATCCAATCTATGAAATTATGATACACATTCATTTCAGGGCAAACCTTTTCAAGGGGAATCATTTCTCAATGAAGATCTGAATGAACTATTTAAGACTCATCTTGCAAAACCTGCTGTCCAAGGAGCCCTGGATTTTGCAAAACACCTAAGAACTTTGCCTGTGTCATAGCTACTTACCAAGCAATTTGAGCTATTAAATACAACCAAGTGTCGGAAAGAAAAGGTGGTCTGTTCTGCAAGTAATTCAGACAATGTTTTTACTGTTGATACTGGGTTTTTTAGGATCTAAAGTCTGTAAATAAGCAACATAGCATGTTTCATACATTTTACAACATTCAAGAATTCAGAAATTGCGATTCTGTGCCGATCAGTGACATCTGTAGGCTGCTAAAGTTGGAAGTGGCTTTGATGCTTATATAAATATTGTACAGTATTCACAGTGCAAAATTATGTTTTTTCTAAAAATAAGGATTGACTTTTGGAGAACTGTTTTAATTTAAAATACATATTAAATGAAGAACTGTTTCATTGTTTTGTTGACTTAAGTGGGGTATACAAATCCATAAAAATAGCAAAATGAACCAAAACAACAAATTAGTCTTAAACCTCCACCTGCCTAGTGTAATCATTATCATCATCTTAGAACTGCAGAATTGGAAGGGACCCTGTGGATCATTGCGTCCAGTTCCCAACCTCTGGCTCTGCAGCCAGATGCCTGAAACAGCATACTAGTAGTTGTGATACCTGACATGATGTATGTGGAATTTTAAAAAGTAATGTTGAATGAGATAAAATGGGTTGTCTGAGTTGTTGACTTCATGAATTTTAAAGGTACACAGAATCAACCAAAGCTGCAGTGGGAGTTCCTTTGTGCATCTCAGACAAATACTGGGCCTCTGTGGCAGAAAAGCACAACAGTAACAGCAGTTGTTAATGCTGATACAGTAGAGCAAATGTGTAAGATTAACTTAAATATTCCTCTTTCTCCTACAGTGAAATGCCCTCAGATGGCATTACACTGCTCCTGCTGTAGCTGAATTGGGACAAATGCTAGAATAATGAAGTTGGAAGGAAAAATTCATTGCAGAATGTCTACAAAAATTACTATATTTTTCCACTACTGTATACTTTTGTCCAAAATCTTTAGACTAAAAATTGAGGGTCGTCTTATACACGGAACTAAGCTGAGGAGAGAAGAAGCACAAATGGAGGGGAAAGCAGGGATCAAAGTGATCCTGCAGGATGGATTTGATCTTTGCTTTCTCCTCTGCTTACTAAGTCCCATAGGGCTTAGCAAAAGGAGGGGGGAAAGGATAAATGCAATTCCGTGGCTGTATAAAGGGAAAAGGGATCAAAACGATTGTGCAGTGGCAGGATTGCTTTGATCCCTTTCCCTCTCCTTTTGCTAACCCCCGTGCAGCTTAGCATGAAGGGAGAAAGCAGGGATCAAAGCAATCCAGTACTTTGATCCCTTCCTCCCTACACTTGCTAAGCCTCAGATTTCTTAATTTTGGGTTAGAAAAGCGTGGGGGTGGGGGTGGTCTTATAGCATCAGGGCAAAACTAGACATTGAACACACTAGTATGTCACAATTTGTGATAGTTTCCTTGAAAACTAAAGCAGGTTGTGTTTAAGTGGGAAATGATAGAAAATACTGGTTAAAACGCTTGTCACTGAGCCTGCCTATAGCTAGATTTGAGAAAGGAAAAGCCAAAGAATTTGCATTCAGTAACACATAATAAATAGTTTGGCCTTAAATTATAATTTAATGCTATGTATTACATCATCCATAGTGTCTATCCTTTTCAAAGCAATAAAAAGAGGAGCAGCAGGTAGAAGAGATCTAAGCATTATCTTCTGTACAGCCCCTTCCTCTCTTTGTAGTGATTGGTAGATTAAAAAGTAAGTGTCCTTGAATGTAGAGCGTTTTCCCTATATTTGAGGGAATGTAAATAGAATCCCCCTTTGGATCTTCCTGTTCAGTGCAGGAGAGTGAAAATTTTGAAGGTCAGTTTGTGCGGTGAGCCTGCAGATCACCATCCTTGTGTCCACTAACATCCCTTTGCATTCAGGCAAATACCTGCACAAGCTTAACCTGATTGTGGTGGCTGAAGATACAGATATGCCCTTTCTTGGGATGTGCACTGACCAAGATTTGTTCAGACCTGTTTACAAGTCCTAGTGGCCACTCTGTCAACTCGTGTTTGAATGCAGACTTTTCAGTTTGGGGGTCCCTCCATCTTCATGCCTCCCATTGGGCTCATACAGTATACAGATTTGCTCTGTTTCAAAGGAGTGCTTGTTTGATTTGGGCAAGTGCTGAATCTCTCCTTATCAATTCCATTTGGTTCAGCATTGAATCAGATCTGAAGCCCCCACCCAGCCCAGCCCTAAAAGTTTCCTTTAAGATTTCTAACATTTTTATTGGAAAGACTTTGGCTGAAATCCAGTAGTAAGTTACAGCTGGAGAAGGCCCTTTGAATTAGTGGGAGTTCTGTTGCTTCAATATGCCTACTCTAGTTGCAGCTTACTACTGGCGTTCAACTAGTTAATACATCATCTGTAACTTTGCAGTGGCATGCATCTTGCCTAAAGGAAGGAGAACCCAAAGCAGCTCTGACGCTTATGGGAACTGATCAACACCGTTATAGTCTAGCTTTCTCCTCAAGGCGGCACTGTCTCTGTGTCTCCATGCAGAGTCACATAGCACAGCTGTTTCTTCTTGGTTGATCCAGTAATGAATTTACTACTTTCCGATAACAAACTTTCATTGTCATTTCCCTAAGAATAAGCATAAATGGTTTTTTTAAAATTTAAGTCTTGACCTTCCTCTCCCTTTAACTCCCAGTCAGTTTATAATAATCAGCTGAATTTGTTTTCTTCTTTCATCATGGCATTCACTTGCTTTCCATCTGATCTGAAGGGGCCTTTCTGTCCTTGAGGTGACTAGTATATTTTGCAAGCAGTGAGAATTAAGCTTTGTAGAATATCCAATCTGATTATGACTTCACATTCCATTCAGGTTCAAGCTGTTCCCCCCACCCCACCCCGCATTTTGCTTTCTTTGAACTTTAATTAACGGAACAGTCCCATTTCTTGATTTATTCACACAGTATCATCCTTGGTGGGCAGCAAGTGCTTTACTGTTGCTGGAGGTTTACATATGGTTTTGCACATGTCTGCTTCAAAATAAGTGCTATTAAATATAATTGGACTTTATCCCAGTGAAGTAAATATAGAATTACAGCCTTAGTTTTGTATTACAGTTATTAAAAGGCAACACCAGTGACCATTTTGTTCTTCCATGCTTTATATGTGTAATATTAAATTGCTTTTGATAGTATATTAACAAGAAGAAAAGTTACAACCAGTGCTAAGAGCCTTATAAAAATATTAAAAGCTTATGATTTTGCAAACATATACAAATCTTTACAACTACTTCTATGTAAACAAACAGAAATGGCAAGATTTACACCAAAAATGAAACTGAATAGTATGCTTCCTAAGTTTAAAGGTTTTCTTTTTTAAAAATAAAGGCTATCAGTGACAGTAATGGAGAGACTCTATTTGAAATAATTGACTTTGCTATTATACTGTTGAGGTTTTTATTGAGAATTCAGCAGTAAAACGTGTTTTTCCCCTCAAAACACTTAATATTGACCAGCTGAGACAATAAGCATAAAGAATGTATTTCCTGAATGTTCATTAAAATTAAACACATATCCTCTAAACTGAGAAATAAGCAGAATTTTCTGGAAAGATATATAGATTTCTGTAGAGCAAGGCATGATAAATACACAATACAGTGACACATACCTTGGAATAGTAAAATAAATAGTTATTGTTTATACAGAAAAAACTACAATACACTGCATGAAGAAATGTTCCTAATCAGCATCACTATAAAAACATGTATACTGACTACTGTACACTGACATTAAGGAAACAGATCATAAACTGCTTATATTCACCATACTGAAATGTCTGAGTTACAATGTTATCTACATCTGCCTAAGGCCAATTAAGTGTGTAGAAGGAGCTTCTAAAAATGTATTTTTACATAATACACTACAGAACATCCTCAACCTTCATTTTCCCTTAAGATGCTTAACTAAAATATTTTATTCTAAAAAGGCTGGATCTTGCCAGCAATGGAAAACGTAAGGTGCTTTCTTTTATACTCCCCTCTCCAAACATATTGAACATAAAGATGAAAGGAATCCTTTCCAAATGATTGCAGGGCCTCCTGCCAGAGCCTCAGAAACTCGACTCCTCGTCCATCTTTCACAACTGGCTCCATCCCCTATAAGCAACCTCCAGGTTGCACCTGTTTGGGCAGCCAAGCCACAACTGAACCAGCTGGTATCTCCACAGAGACTTTTGACATCTTCCAGTTAAAAGTGAAAGACTGCTTAAAGAAGTGGGTGAAGGATTGGGTCAATGTCCCTCATGTTCTCTGCTGCTCTCATTTTCAGGAAGGGAGACTTTTTGTCTCTTGTAAATTCCTAGAATCAAGAAGAAACAATGTAAAATGTAAGTCTGATTTTATTTTGCATAAGTGGAGAACTGAGTTCTTTGAAGATTTTTTAAAGCATTGGTATGATTAAAAACAAACACTCAAATGTTGCTGACAGGAAAAATGAATGAACCCAATCTAGTCCATGCAAGCTCAATTGTTTACATTTTCTCTATTAAAAGCAGTGGGCTTAAAATGATGGAAGCTTTTCAACTTCTGTATGAAAGATGGAAAAGATTTAAAAGTTCAGGGCAAAAAGAATTTATCTAAAATAATTAACAGGCGGAAAAATTACCTTGACTATGAAACCAATACTTTATTTGTCATCTTCAGTAAACAGAGATGCCGTGATGAGGCATTTGGTATGAAATTTATACTTTCATATCTTTTCCAAAAGTATTTTCTAATTTATGCTGAAATAGAATACTGCTGAATCTCACTGTGGTATAAATACATGTCAAAGTTTAAACGAAAACATTAAAATAATCCAGCAAACATTGCACTAGTTTTACAGTTGGGAATATCAGAAGTTCCCATCTCTGTTTAATTAGTATAAATATGGAATCATGTTACAACAAATAATTTTATATGCCTTTATCCAGCAATTGTTATTTATGAAAAGAAATGGGTTCCCACACTATGATTCCCTATACTATACTGCAAAGATGAATTGTTCTGATACCACAGCTAGTCATTCTGGATGTCTACTCCCCATTCCTAGGAAAAGACGGCCGACGTGAAACAGAAGGAATGCATAACAGGTAAGACAAAATGATCTGTCAGCCCTTATGGGTACAGTGGTGCCTTGCTTAACGATGATAATTGGTTCCCAAAAAATTGCTATTAAGCAATTTCATCACTAAGCGAAACACGGTTTCCCATAGAAATGCAGTGAAAACCGGATAATCCGTTCCAATGGGAACGGATTGCTGTCCTTAAGCGAAAATTGTCATAGGAAACATTGCTAAATGAAACGCGGTTCCCCAACTGAAATGCACTGAAACCTATTCAATGCATCTCAATGGAGGAAAAAATTACAACAAATTTAAAAAGAGTTGGAACAAAGTCAAATAGTTTAACAAAGGGTTTATTAAGTGCACTTATGATTTCAAGCATTCTAAACATTTTAAAACATTTTTAAACATTTAAAAAACAGCCAACATGAGGCTGTCAAAACCATCGTTAAGCGAAACAAGGGGACCCAAACTGTCATTGCTATGCGAAGCATGGTCCCAACATCGCTATGCAAAGATCACCCATAGGAACCATAGTTAAATGGAGCGCAAGATCGCTCTGAAAAAGTCATCGCTAAGCGATTTCATCATTAAACGAATCAATCGCTAAGCGAGGCACCACTGTATATCCTTTAGTCCAGTTGGTTCTTAACCTTGGGTAACCCAGATTTTCTTGGACTTTAACTCCCAAAAACCCTGGCCAGCACAGCTGGTGATGAAGGCTTCTGGGAATTGCAGTCCAAGAACACCTGGGTAACCCAAGGTTGGGGATGACTCACTTAAGAGATCTGGATTCAAAGCCTTGCTCAGCCATGGAAACTCATTGGAGGGTAGCCAGTTTTGGTCCCCTTATTGGAGAAAGGTGGTCTATAAATAAAACAAATAAAATAAATAGTAAATAAGGATGCGGTTACATCACAAAAATGAATAGTGGTTAAGGATGTTTGAAATCCTTGGGTTACCCAAGGTTGGGTTGGGAACCACTGGTCTAGATTCAAAGATACTGAGGATTGTGCTCACAGACCTTTAATGTTGAACTCTGATTGACAGCTTCTGGTCCTTGCCAATTTAGACATCCTCGGTTTAAACACAGAGACAGCCTTCCTGTTTATTACTCTGTCCCATTTAAAGGACAGACCTTGCCTTCTAGCAAACAGGTGTTCTGCCTCTTGTAGAAGCCTTCTGTTAATTTCTGCTGTTCTCTTCAACATACAGCAAAATACTGTTGAATGTGAAATGCCTCCCTTACAAGCCCCTTCATGAAAACTGAGTGTTTGGGTCACAAGATGCTCATTTTACTGGAGACGGGGCAAACTGGGTTGATCATCAAGCTACCTGCATCACAGTCTTGGCTCACAAGCCCCAGCATTTCTGAACCCCAAAGCCTTTTGTGAAGAAAAGGAATCTTAACTCCGTGCAACAAATTAGTAGCCAAGCACATGTATGCTGCTTAATGTCCTGATTGCCTGGAAAAAAAACCCTTCCTGGGCACTACAGTGCTTCACTGAGAGCGTGAGAAAATGCCATCTGGATGCATCCTAAATTTAACTCAATGGAAATAATAATTTACCAGTCGCTCTCTTCCCTCTTTTATAAGAACAACAAGCCAGATGAATGACAGGCTACTGTAACTTGGTAGATGAAGTGCATTACAGCACATGATTTTAACCAAAAAGAAGAAGAAGAAAGACTACTTTAAAATCATCATCAGTGAGAAGAGACAAGCTCACCATCATTTCAGTAAGGCACTTCTGTAATATTTGTGTAAGATTTCTTTTTGCTTAAGGATTTATTACTCTGCACGGCTGGAACTCAGCAATGTATATTCATATTTCAAATGCCACTAATGCTATGAACCACTGAAAGTACAAATTACTATATGAGGTACATGTGTGTTATATAACATGTCCCTTAAATTATAAACTGGATGGAGAGAAGAGAAGCAGGGCTGAGAGACCACTGACCCTTGGTCTCAATCATCACCTCCTGTTACATGCGTTCAGGCTGCTTCAAACTTTGGGTGCAGTTACACGTTAACAAATTTCTGGGTTTGCATCACAGTTAGCACATCTAAGCTTGATTTAAAAATACTGTATCTGTTTACACAATGTTGGGTTAAAAGCATGTATTTTTTAGGTGGGAAAGTGAGTTATTTAAATAGCTTCGAGGGGGTTATTTTATCTTGATTTTGGACACCACTGAGGAAAATAGGAAGAAAGAGGATGGCTGGCAACAAATCCACAAATGCAACAGATTAAAAGTAATCAATGTGACAAACCCAGACCTACTGGGATATGTCACACAGTTACACTAAGCTGCCACCAACCATTCCCTGTAAGAAGTCACACAGACCAGGGATGGATTTTTAAACAATAAAAAGAATAAGGTTTATTTAAATACACACAGGGAAAAATAAACAATCAGGTGAATAGGATAAAGTAACGTGGCTTATTCTCACTCATACAAGCATACAGTTTGGTTCACACAGAACCCTTAACTTAAAGCACAGACCCTGAACCTATCAGTTCTGGCTAACCAACAGACACCTGAACCTATCAGGTTGGTACTCTGACACACAGTAGTACCCTGTCTGACACACAGACTCCCACAACAGCTTCTTCTTCCCCGCTGCTGCTTCGTCACAACCCAGTGTCTCACAGTGTCTCTCCTCTCACCACACAGGCATCACATATTTATACAGTACAGCCCCTCCTCCTGATGTCCCGCCTTCCACTCCCCATAGGATGGAACTTTCCCTCCAAACCCATGACAGACAGGTAACATCAGTGCTGTATGTAACAGTCCCAATAGGACATACACGCCGGCCCAAAAACCACTTGACCACCACCTGCCTTTAAATGGATTTCAGGTACTGTACCCCTAACCCCAATTCATTTTCATAGTGTAACCACATCCTTATTTACCCTTTATTTTATTTGTAGGCCACCTATCTCCTGAAAAGATGGCTACCCTCCAATGAGTTTCCATGACTTTGAACCCAGATCTCTTAAGTGAGTGGTTCCCAAACCTGAGTAACCCAGATGTTCTTGGACTAAAATTCCCAGAAGCCTCCACCACCAGCTGTGCTAGCCAGGGTTTTTGGGAGTTGCAGTCCAAGAACACCTGGGTTACCCAAGGTTGGGAACCACTGCTCTAAGTCCTAGTTTGCCACTCTGTCTTCCACACTACAATTACTTTCGAATAATCTGGTGGTACTGAAAACTTGAACCATCTCCACCTCAATTGTCAGTTGTGAGAATTAGTAAATGGATTTGCTTTCTATTTTTGCCCTCTCCTCTTCATTGTAATGTGTTTCAGATTATCAACCAAGGACAGGAGTTGCCATAGAGTCAGCAGTATGGTAAGTCCTGTCCTTAGTTTATAATCTGAAACGCATTACAATGAAACATGGAAATCCTTATTAGCTAAAGGGGTAACTGTGTTTTCAATCTATCAGAACCATTTTGAGTATTGGAAGCATCTCCTACCTGAATACAAACCTATTAAAGTTATTCCATAGTTTCACTGAAAGTCAAACTGCAAGCAGTCTTGTCTTCTTTATTCTGGAGACCTTCTGAAGATGTTTGTAAAGGTGGGGTTATAAAGCCCCGGTATTGCTTACTTGATTTAGTTAACTTTTTAAGTTCATTAGCAAATGAAATGCCTTTTCTCTTATCATCTCGGCCTGCCTGCAAATAAAATATGAGACAACAGAAATAGATATATTTCATTTATTTCTTGGTATATATGCATTTATTTATTTACACTCAGACTGCCTAGTAAACAGAAATCTGTAGGCAGAGTATAATGCATTAACATTTGTCTACTCACCCATCTGTCCATCCACACAGACAAAATAAAACAGTGACTGAAAATAGTATATAGTGACTGAAATCCTGTTGCTTAGCACAGTATGACACTAGACTTAAGCAATAAGATTTAATCCAATAAAACAAAGGCAAAAACAGCATTAAATAATAAAGTCATTTAAAAGTGCTCGTTTCAACCTTTAAAGACTTATGTGGCTTAAATCTAGTCTGTCTGAAGGAACATATCCTTCCATATTCACCTACACACTGACTATCATTCTGCACATGCATCCAGAGCAAAGTGGGTTTCAGGGATAGTGCTCCATTTGTGGAATACCCTTTTCAGAGTGTCTTGCCTGCAGTATCCATAACTGACTCTGCAAGAGCTGAAAGTATTTTTATTCTTCCAGACATTCTAAGAATGCTGCTTTTGGATCTTAATACAATCTTGCTGCTGGTTTTACTTTGGCTTCATATACTGACCTGGCCATGAAACACATTGGCTAAGACCTTGTTACATAACATGTTAAAGCACAACTAGAATAGACCCATTGATCAATGGGGATTTAATGAGTCACCTTTTAGGTAAGTTTCACTGATTCAATGGGCCTACTCTGGTTGTGACTTAAACAACAAGATTTCAGCCAAGGTAGATGGCAAAGTACTGGCATAAAATGATCATATTTGCTGTTTCTAGTGAGCAGTCTAGCCAACTTATTTTGAGCTACAGGAGGTTTCTAAACTGTTTTGACAGGCAGCTGCACTTATAGCTGCATTGCAATAATCCAGTAAACCAAAATAGGGATGTGGATCTTCCACTCTTAGGGGGAAACCCAAGAAGAAAAAGAATGAGATTATATGAGATTTTTTTCCTCCTAAGACCTCTCCCAAGAAAATTCTGCAAGATTTCTCAAATGTTTTGGTGTCTGGACAAAATGTCAAGCTGCACAGGATTATTATGCATTTTTCCGATAATTCTTATGTGGAATAGTATTCTTCCTGCACAGCATTCAACCCAGATATGGAAGAAGAAACATCAAGCTGTGCAGGACTGTCACAACTACGCAGAATGGCAGGCGTCCTGCGCAGGATTCACCCGGAAAGGGCATTAAATTGTGCAGACCTCAACAGTTTCCTGTGCAGAACGACACATTAAAATGGGGTTTTTTTTTTCACAAAAAACAGGGAAATCTCCCTGATAGAGTGGGAAGTCTTGGGGGGAAATCCTAGGATAATGAGACTTGAAAAATTTCTGAGAACAGGAAATTTTGCAAGTACTCTTACATCCTTAATTCAAAATGTGGGTAGCAAGCATGAGGCTATCTCTGCCTTGATAAGGTCATGGTATATCAGTCTAAACTGAGAAAAGGCACTCCAAGTCACAAAGGCCTCTAGTGGAAGGAAAAACATCAGTCGCCTGATCCTGGATGAGCATGCTGACCTGGCTTATGTTACAGAGACCTGGCTGCATGAAGCTTTGTCCTCTGTACACTCTAAAAGCACATCCAGACCATGAACCTGATCCTTTGGGAGGAACCCAATCTCAGTTAGCAACTGACTGAAGGGCACTTAGACACCTGAACTACACACATGGAATATCTTGTCCAGATTCAAAACAACTTTATTGGCTCAAATTGTTTATTCTCCCCCAGCACTAGTTCAGAGCATTAATTGCCTTGTCTGTATTAGATGAAAAGGAGACACAGGGCTGAGCATCACCTGCGCAATGGTGAACACACCACAGTCCCACACATCCCTAGACAATTTCTCACAGTGATGACACACATGTTAAAAAAGAAATGAGAAAGAGCTCTGAAAGACGGAGGGCCACTTTTCCAACTCCAGGGTCCCTCTTGAGCCAGACCAAACCATCTGTGGAACATGAGAAAGGACCAGACATTTTACGTACTCTGACTTCATAGTGAAAGACTGCCCACACTTTGTTTATAAAAGAACTTTGGCCCCTGGAGGTGGTTTTCTTCAATTTTTTTTAAACAAAAATGGAGTTGGTAAGGAATGTAGATCACAGGAACCCAGCTTTGGGTTGAATATCAGGAAGAATTTCCTAACTGTTTGTCAGAGCAGTATGACAATGGAACCAGTTATCTCAGGAGGTGCTGAGTCCCAATACTGGAGGCATTCAAGAGAAAATTAGAAATCCCTCTTGGAAAGTCCACTGAGCTCATCTGGAAGTCCTGATCTTTGCTGTATTTATTACTATATAAATAGTTATGGCTTTCCACTTGCAAACAAGGAAAAAGATGCTTTGAATTAAATCCCTGCATTGGACTCAGTGGACTTATAGACTCCTCCCATTATTCTATGATTCTCAATTCCAGGGTTCCACAAAAATCACCCAAGTCGTGTTCACACATCTGATAAACAGCCCTATTTCCTGCTCTGGCTTAAGCAAACTATCATAAAGCAGATCCTGGATCCAATCCAGTCATCTTTTATATACTGAGAACACAAAATTTAAGGTTCACAAAAGTTTTTCAATAATGTACTTACTTGGACTTGTTCTTTAAGTTTAAGGATAAATTTTCCAGCTCCCTTCCATTTGCTTTGAGCCTGAAACACACACTCTTGGTCAGAAAGAATCCTCTGAGAAGTTTTGGGCGTTGAGGATTTCTTGTTTGCTGGTTCTTTTGTCACTTCCTCCAAGAGAACATAATCACTTGGGTTAGGATGGTTCAGAATACTGTAGGAATATTTGGCTTTGCATAAGGTCTGTTAAAGAAAATGAAAGGGAAGAAAAACCAAAACTACTTATTTGTCAAGCAAACCACATCTAATGCAAGCAAAAGGGATATACAAATTTAAATATTAGTTTGCTGGATAAGCATTCTCTTTAAGAAGCACTACTGGCCTAAACACACTTCCAGCCAGTTTTTATGGGCTGAAACAGGAACAGGGTAGAGAATTTGAACAGCACCCATTATGACTTGCAGAGATTGCAAGTAGCTATCGGTTAACTAATTACATATCTATTAGAACAAGGGTGTAATCAAGCTACATTTCAAAATTAATATAACTACTGAAATCCTGCTCATGTATGTCCCTTGGCATTAGGCTAATGATGTCATAAGCAAATGTAATTTTTTCGAAACTGAACATTTCTTCTTCCACTCCCAAGATCTTTGCATGTCGCAAGTAATTATTTTCATCATCAGGAAACTGAGGAGGTCCCAGGACAGGAATAGGAAGCCTTTAATTACCAAAAAGGGCCACTGGTGGGCCACTGGTTGGTGATGTCATTAGTCTTAAGCTACAGAACCTGTACAAAGGTTGGACTTCAACCAATTAACAGTTGCAAGGTTACTTTTTTTGATGTAACATGTTGTGACTTTCCTACTTCACTTTTCAAGGGTAATTAAAGGCATTTGAGTAAGCATTTTCAAGAGTTCTGTAAGTATTTTTAAGGACTGCCCATTAGTGGGAGCCAGAGAGTATTTCCCTGCAATTTTCTGGCCCACTGATAATTTTCTAATAGCATGTTATTAATGCAGATGGGGAATGAATGAATGATGTTAGTGAATAAAGCAACTCGCCTGCCTCAAAGGAATGAATAGCGTAGAAAGTTCCTTTTAAAAAATACCATTCCAACTTGTGAACTGGGGGCACAAACAATCTACAGGATATTCTGCAGACCTTTCAGCCTCACCCAAGGTCAAAGTGAATCCTAGTGAGTGGAAGTGAAGAGGAAAAAAAATACTAAAGCAATATATATTGTACCTGTTGAATGACATCCTGGGCTGTGCTGAAGCGAGGAGCTTTTATGACTGTCCGTGGTTGCTCCGGGGAAACATCATGAACTTGAACAAAGAAGCTGTCATCCTCAGAGCTGATGATTCCATCATCCTTCTCCTCCTGACAGATATTTCTCCTGTTCAAGTTCTAGAAAAACATTGAAAGCATGAACATGGTAAGCCTGTTTGGCTTTGAAAAAGAGGCTGTTCTATCATTTAATGGGATGGAGTTATAGCTTTTCTGAAACATCTGTCCTTAGAATCATAGAATAATGAAGTTGGAAGGGGCCTATAAGGCTATCAAATCCACCTCCCCCCCTTGTTGCAAACTAAAGCTGCAGTGTGAATACGCTGTTTTTGGATTTAATGTGTCATAAAAATATAGGAAGAACCAACAAATAGCTGCCAGTAATACCAGTTGTGCTCTCATTTGAGTGCTTTTAAAAAATGACGCAAGGACTCAGCCCTCTTTTCCAATGCTTTCATGAAAAGGCATATTTTTCTTCCCAGCACTCATGGTTCAAATGACAAAGAGAAATCATGAGGGTCAGTTGGGTTGTTTCTGTTCTGAGGTAGAAGAAATGGTTTCTGTGGATTGACATAGCCCTCACTGTCATTCTCCTATAGCAGTGGTCCCCAACCTTGGGCCTCCAGATGTTCTTGGACTACAACTTCCAGAAGCCTTCACCACCACCTCTGCTGGCCAGGATTTCTGGGAGCTGAAGTCCAAGAACATCTGGAGGCCCAAGGTTGGGGACCGCTGTCCTATAGTACAGTGCTTCAGCTTCACCAAACCAGAATGCACTGCACTCCATAACCAGCCTGTGACCAGAATGTTTCCTTAAATGAGGTTGGCAGTGACTTGACACCCTGGTTTCAGAGAGAAGCCCTAACGGGAATGGTACATCATAAGCTGGAAGGCAAACACAATTTATGGCAGCTCCTATTGTTACCAAATAAACTGATTCCTACAAAATTAAGCCAATCTTCCTTTTAATGGTTTTATTCCTCAAGTTACTTTTGATCAGCAGCTATTTGCCCATACAAGGCCATCAAATATCTGATCTTAGTTTTTACTCAACACTATTGCCTGCTGAATAATGGCTAAAAACATGTTTGGCCAGGCAAAGAATGGTATATTTTCTCAAGCCATCAAATGAAATTAAGAGGTAAGAGCTGTCAGCTGCATCCATCCTGTTGATGCCCAACACAGAATGCCACTGAGGACTTTTTTTCTTATTCCTGTGCAAGTGGAAAGCCTCAGCTATTTACACAGCAGTAAATACTTTAGCCAAAGTTCAGGACTTTAAAGGCCGACTAAGCTCAGCTGGAGAGCTGAGCGTACACTTAAGAAATCCTTTCTATTTCAGTCAATGTGACTAAAACGATAGCTTGTTTTCAGACAATATGTAATACCAAACACTACTTTTACTACCAAGTATATATTCAACTTGAGATTGAAATGCTATGGCTGTAAGTGGCTAAGATACCCAGAAGATTCTGCACTCAGCAAGTGAGCATCAGCCAAAAACATAAAAAAAACAAAGTGTGCTGCTTATATACTGCCCCATAGCACTCAAAGCACTCTCTGGGTGGTTTACAAGTTAATTACGCAGGCTACACATTGCTGCTGCCCCCTCCCCCTGTGAGCTGGGTACTCTGTCTTCATATGACACACAAGATGTTTAAAAATGCATACATCACATTCAGTATTTGTTTGTAAGGCCTCTATGTAACCCCAGAAAGTATTTATTTCTGACTGAATCATGCCCTTAGGAAAAAAACACGCTCAAGAAAACATAATTCCCATATGAGATCACTGTGTATCTTACATGCCATTCAATCAATTCCAACTTATGGCAACCATAGTAGGCTTTTTGAGGTCTGTGAGATGTTTAACAAATGTTTACCATTGCTACCATCCAGTGAGTTCTCATGGCTTGGGCAGGGATTTGAACCCAGGTCTCCTTACAGTCTATTAGCTATACTACGTGGCTTCTCACGAATAAATAATTGTATAACAGTTAATCAAGAAAGTTAATGTAGAGAGTAAATGTGTTGAGGAATCATGAATGTGTTAGTAAAATCCAGGTAACTCAGAACTCACCAACAAAAGATTAAAATGGAAAGTTTGGCTGGCTGGCTGATTTATTTGTTGTGTTTTTCCCAGCCTTTTGCCTACAAAGCTTACAGTAGTAAAAAAAATGAACAGTATAAAGGTTAAAACTAAGAATTTACAGTATTAAAAAAGAATTAAATATCTTACTAAAACTCACGGATAAAAGCAATACTAAAACACATTAAAATAAATAAAACGGCTCCATTTTAAAAAACGAAACCCTTAGAAAGCTAGTTTCTAAAGAAAAACCTGAAGAGAAAGATCTTTGCCTGCTTGCAAAAGGACAGCAAAAAGGGTCCAGTCTGGCCTCATGTGGGAGAGTATGGGAGCAGAGACAGAGGAGGCCCTCTGCCATGCCCCAACAAATATGTCTGTGTGTGTGGTGGGATTGAGAGAAAGGCCTCATTGATGATCTTAAAACCCAGGCAGGCTCAAAAAGGGAATGTTGTCTTTGAGATAGCTTGGATCCAACCCATTAAGTGTGCTTCATTCTGTGCTGGAGTATGAACTATATGTATAAACAAACAATACACTTGTAATCATAAGAGCATCCCGTAAGATGCAGAGTAAAAACTGCTTGTTACAATTTATTAAGAGCTTTAATACATATTTTCAGAAGCAAAATCTTGAATGCAAAATAAATGCTCTTGGGATGTTTTCCTGTATTTAGTTTTAGTGATTCATTAGGACGTATTTCAAAACACACAAAGATCTGTCCCATTATTGTTGCTAGACTGCTCTGTAGTACTTCCTTCCTTACTGTTCTTTGTCAGGAAAAATGAATTCCGGTAAGCCAAACAATTAACACGCTCTTTTTGTCACTCTCCTGATATTATCAGCAAGCAATATATGTCAAGACAAATTGACTCACTTCCTCGCGTGTTTTAAAGATAATTCTTCCGACATAGCCTTCTTCTGGGAACCAGCTGTTCAATAGCTGGACGACCTCCTCCTCGGGACCCAGCACCCTCTGGAAGGGTGGCTTCCTGTGCTCGTTTCTTTCCTTAGATATAAAGCATTTCTCCTCCATCAAAAAATAGTCTGTTGGATATTTTCCAATTCCTTTTGTAGAAGCCAAAATCTAAAGCAGAAGCATGATAATAATTAGGATAGCAGAAGGTTGCATGCTCAGTGACTCAACTGTGTTGACAACAAAAAAACTTTATTATTGGTTTATATCTGGCATATTATAAAAACATGTTTTTGCTGTATTAACCACCCATTTGGGCTGCCTTTCTTGGGGCTAGGCGCTATCTGAGTAGCTTTCAGAGAAGGCCAGTGCTCTTTAATCTCATTGCTGTCCAGTTTGCCAGACCATTTGTTCATACTCCCAAAACAGTTGAGCATTTTTCCATTGCTCAAACAACAGCCTCTGTTGAGATAACAGCTGGAGCTTTTTCCACTTATGAATTCAGCTCTTTTCCCTTTTCTTCTGCATCTCAGTGATATTTCAGAAAAAAAGGAATGATGCCCCCATGATAAGGGTAACCAGGCTGGCCCCCCATTTGGAAAAAACCCCTCTGTGATGGACATCGTAATTGTAACACAGAACATGTTACATGAAGCAAGACATCATAATCACCACCATCATCATTGCTATTATCACCAGCATTGCGAAGTCCACAGGGCTATATTAATAATAATAATAATTCTGTGTTGTCAACTTACTTATACTGACCCTTTCCAGGGTTTTCTAGGTATAGAGTACTCACGAGTGGTTTACCATTCCTTTCTTCTGGGGGTGCAATGGAACTATACAGCTTGCCCAAGGCTACAAAGACTGGCTGTTCCCATAGGAAGCATGATGGGGCACTGAACTCCCAAACACACCTAACTCATTGAGCTGTCCAGGCAGCTTATGGCTATATTAGCAATATTCTTTCTGTTTGTATTAGAAGAACCAGATCATCTTATGTTTCAAAGTCTTTGCATGCACCAACATTTTGAAGCAATGTAAAGATTTTGGCAATGAATGAACCTTGGCTTGAAACCCCACAGTGGTCAAAGTGACAACAGAGGATGGTATCTGGATTTTTCAGTGAGATTCTGGATCAGTCTTCCAATTATTTCAACTTACATACTGTCCCTTAGTGCAACACATTCTCTGGGTTGTTTTACAGCAAAGCATACAAAGAAAGAAAGAATACAAAGTAATATACAAATACATATCAATAAATAATAAATACTAAAAAGGGAGTTTTAGGTTCTGTGTAGACTAGCAAGAACTAAATCATATTACCAAGGCAGATGCCTACCCAATGCCTCGCCTGGATGACCTTATTGAAACAATAGGGAAATGTCCATCTCCAGTTTGGATCTGACTAAAGGGTTTTGGCAAGTGCTCATGGATCCTAAAGACCAAGAGAAAACAGCTTTTTGCAGTCCTTTAGGATTATGCAAATTTCAAATTACGAGTTTTGGGTTAAAAAATGCACCAGCCACATTTCAAAGGCTGGTAGATAAAACTCTGTATGGTCTGAGAGAGTTCACTATGGTTTACATGGATGACATTGGATTTTTAGCCAGACCTGGGACGAACATAAATCTCATCTAGAGGTTGTGTTGCAAAAGTTACATGACGCCAGTGTGACAGTGAATGCAGCTAGATGTCAAACTGGAAACTCTGAAATAAAGTACCTAAGGCATCTAGTCAGAGGGGGGCTGATCAAACCCCTAGATACAAAGATAGAAGCTTTTGATACTTGGCCCATCTCAACTTCTAAAAAGAAAATTCAAGTGTTCCTTGGGTTTGCTGGATATTATAGATGTTTTGTCCTGAATTTTAGTGAGATAGCTGCTCCATTAACAACTTAACCCAAAAGAAGCAAGCTAAAAACATCCAGTGGACATCAGAGTGCCAGGTAGCTTTCAATCATCTGAAGAGGGCGCTGACTTCAAAACCTGTCCCTACTGCACTGGACTTCGATCGTGAGTTCATCATTTGCACAGATGCGTTTAACATGGGACTGGGAGCTGTGCTGTGCCAAACAGACAAAAGCAGGAGTCTACATCCAGTGACTTACGTAAGCAAGAAACTCCATCCTGGTGAGACATTTATCCACTATCAAAAAAGAGTGTTTAGCTATTGTATGGATGCTGCAAAAGCTGAAGCCCTACATTTGGGGAAGGCAATTTGTCCTCTGCACCGACCATTCCCCTTTGGGAACACACATGAAATCTAATAGCAGCAAACTTACAAGACGGGCAGAACACACATGAAATCTAATAGCAGCAAACCTACAAGATGGGCACAATTTTGCAAGACTTTGATTTTGAAATCCACAGTGTAAAAGGATCTCAGAATGTGGTTGCAAACACTTTGTCTAGAAGGTCAAATTACTAGAGAAATTTTTTATTTATTTATCTGAGTTCAATATTGTTTGTGTAATAGTTATGGGATATGCTTAAAGTGAAAAATTTGCTTGGATATTATTAAACTAAGCGGTAGGTACAGTGATAATACAGTATGTTGAAATTTGCATGCACCAATGGGAGTCGGTGGGGGCAGAGTTAATTGGGGAAGAAGAAAAGGCGAGAGTGTAGGTGGTTGAGAGTGGAGAAAGAAGGTTGTTTAGTTGAGAGTTAACGGGGTAATTCAGCCATCTCGTCACACTCTTACCTGGTGCAGAAGCTGAGCCACTGTGGTCCCTTGCTTTATAGTAAAAAGTGTAAAAGGTTCTGGGCCTGGAACTCCATGTATGGTGACTTTGTACACTGCAGCTGATCTTCTCTCTGCCATGTTAAATCGCTGTTCAAAACACGCATGCATTTTGGTTATTTACTGTTTTATTTTTAAACAACATATTTGTATCTAACAAGAACACCCAGCAAGAATACCTGACATTTGGGTACATGTTTGACATGATTCAATAAGCTTAGCAAAATGATTTCAGAAATAAAGTTACCAGAATAAATTGTCACAATAAGGACTAAATCCACTGTTAGTCCCTACTGGTGTGGACTCACTGAACTAATGCAACAATATAAACACTGATTTATAAAAGTCCAGTTGAATCAATGGATCTAGTTTAGTTGGGACTAATATAATTGGATTTAGGCTGAAGTATTTAGGTGGGATCTGTGTGACTTAACAAACTGTCATCAAATGCTGTTTTAAAAACACACTCTAGACTCAGGAAGCCTGAAGTGATACTTAGGTCAGGGAAGTCTTGAGGTATTTCCATGCCAACTATCAGAAAGCCAGGGCTGCACCATAGGTAGAGAGAATGGAAAAAAGACAAAAGAAGATTAAGAAAGACAGAGACACATAACAGCCACTTTGATTAAGCTTTCATAAATAAAGTAAGCTCTGACTCAGAAGCACTAATAAAAAATAAATAAGGTTGAAGAAAAGACAGAAAGGCCAAATAAACTGAATTACTTCAAATTAGTGGGTCTGAATAACTTTCTCAGATGGATAACTCATGAAGAAGAACTGGCAAATCTCCAGGAGACTGGAGAAACACACGCAGAACTGCCTGCTTAACAGCATGTTAAGGACTAGAGCAGAACAGATTGCAACCAGTATAAGGCTAGATAAGGCCAGCAACTTAAGCATCTCATTTTTCCAGTCGTAAATTTGGCTTCTACCAAACACTGAGAATTTTTAAAAATTCCTATGAAAATTCATACGCCTTTTGTGCATGTTCCGCCTCATTAATGCACCATTGTACACAATTCTGCTTAATATATACATTTTTGCAAGCAATTTGCCTAACACAATGCATTTAAACTTTTTTTAAACAAACAGGGACATTTTTGTGTTTATGTTACTGTAGCATACATATTTGTACATACTGTTTAGGGAACTCCATTTCAAAATTTAGAAAAACAAACTCTCAAATAATTTATTTGGAATTGAAGCTGTTATCTAAACAGACGTAAGCACTTCAAAACTTCACTGATTTCATTATTTAACATTTAAGTGTGTGCTTAGTTCTCCAGCTGAACTGGACTAAAATATGTAACTTCAACTGTCCTGTATCTCCTTTTCTTTTCCCGAAAGAAACATTAGATTCAAACAGAATACACCTCTCTTTCTCTCTTTCTCTCTCTTTTTGTATTCAGCAAAGAAATTGAGCTGTTTGCAAAGGACATTCTTCTAAGAAAGCATGAGAAATTTATCTAGCACCATAACATGAGCCATATGTAGTTGAGCAAGCAGCAAAAGGTGTGAATAGGGTTCAGTGAAGATCCAGTAACACTGTAAATAGCTTTGGTTCAAGCAATATTCATCGGCCTCACAGTCTGTCTGATGATGAATTTAGAGCAGTACCGTGCAGATAACAATCAGCCTGGGAGGCTCAATGGTACCCCAGAATAACTTCCTATGTTGTAAGCATATTTTTGTTCTAAAGGAATAATCTATAACTAGGAACATCCTGATGGGGAAAAATGTGTACAAATTGTTATCCCACACATGGTTCTCCTCTTTGTGGGTTGCTGATCATGTGCCTTTTTGCACACTGGTTGGAAAATCGCTCACATAACCATTGGCACAAGAGATGCCCTGGCAGAAGGGGAAATGGCTCGTGCAATTATTACTTCATGCCGGTCCCCCCACCCAAGATGATTACTACTGGGCCATCTTAGAGAAAATTCAGGAAGTGACTCATATTGCTTAATTTCAAGTTGCAAGTTGAAGTTATGAAGACTCCTTACACTCAAGGCAAGAAATAGTTATGAAGCTTAAGGCTGAATATAGGTTTTACTTGAAAAGAGAAGCAAGTGTGTGCATTTTAGGGTGAGCTCTTCTAACGACACTCTTGTCCGGACAGATACACTAGGTGCAAATTCACATGTTGAAAACTGATCATTGTCCCTTCTTCCATCTTTCAGCCTTTGTTTCCTGCTTAATTTTGTTGTTTCCTGTCTCTGTCTAAGAGCTGTTTACCTATTCAAATGTTTGCACAACACATTATTTATTAAGCTCTTGCCTTCTCTCTCTCTTTCAACACAATGGGCAAAAACCTGTTACATAACTATGCAGGTGTAACTTGGTATTACATCTGCAGTACATAGCTGTGTGGAAGTGCACTCCATGAAGCATTTTTGCTAGCCCACTGTGCAATTGTTTGCTCTGGGACATGTGATCAATTGCTCAATCAAACTCTGCAATTCCTAGCTCATTTACACACGACATCACACCCACATGGACAGGATTTTGCCCTCTGAAAAATATTGCTTGGGCAGGGTGGTGGCGGCAGAAGCTCCATGACTGTCAACAAACCAGTGCTGTACACAACATTTTCGCCCTTCTTTCACAAAGAGAAGAAATAATAATTGGCCAAAAAAAACCCCCCAACTATTACAACTGTATAAATCAAGCTGCTGCTCTAAGTCACAACAGAAGTTAAACCGTAGGTCAGAAACACGGCAGCTCAGCTTCTATCTATAGTGTTGAAATTATGTACATTTATACAAACCATGACAATATAATTTATCACAGGAGTTTGAACTGGTGTATCCAAATGACACCCTCACTATGCTTACATAAAACTTTATTCTGACACCATTTGCACTTTTTAGTTGAACCAGTATATAATTATCCAAAGTCATCCAAAACTTTACAAAGGCATTATTTCAATAAAAAGTTTGTCTGATACTGCAGCATTTTATTTCTTAAGAACATTCCATCTTTTGAACAGAATCCTCTATAGCTGGAATGACCAACACCCTAATATTGGTTAGGACAAAAAGAACAAGTTATCTGGTAGCATTTGAAAATAATTTTTCCGAATGGGACAGTCATCTTTCACAGATTAAGATGCTGGTATTTAGTTAGACGGAGCTGCTAAATTTTTGACCAGAAGCCTACTGATAAATCCATTTCAAATGAAATTACCAAAGAAGCTGGCACAGCATTTCCAGGAGGATTTTCTTCCATTCTTCGACTGTTAATGAATAAACTTGAGATTTCTAGTGCTTCATTGTGAAGGTTTCGTAGCTGGAGATGTCTGTACCCTTAAAGACATATATAATTGGAAGCCAGTTAAAGGGATTATTTGGTTATATGCACTGCTAAAAGCTAAGATTTAATGAGGTGGTTGTCTATTCTGCCTGAAACATAAAAACACTGTCATTTCATATAAAATTTGAAAAGTCATATATTCCTTGTACAAAATTCAAAAACACAAGACTGAGTAGTTCCTTTATTGGACTACCATGTTTTCCCCAAAATAAGACAGGGCTTTATATTAATTTTTCCTCCAAAAAAAAAAAAGCATTAGGGCTTATTTTCAGGGGATGTTTTATTTTACAGTCATGTCACCTTCTTCTGGTAGCTGCACAAGGGTGGATGGTGGGGTTTAACTTAACTGGGGCTTATTTTCAGAGTGGGGCTTATATTACGAGCATCCTGAAAAATCATACTAGGGCTTGTTTTCAGGTTAGGTCTTATTCTTTGGGGGGAAACGGTAGTCGAGTATTAAAACAGGCAAGCTTTTAAGTCCAGCAGATTTTTCTCCATGTTGAGCACTGCTATGCTTGAGGAGGTGAGAGAAGCAACGTTCCACCCCACCCCAAAAAACCCCCCGATAAAGTCCCACAGTGTCCAGCTGATATTAAAATAATGTCTCAAGACAGATGCTCAAAGCTTGTTGCATCAGTGAGAGACCTCAGGCCAATGATCTTTGGACTTTATACCCTGACACTCCAAGAACTGACCAGGGTATTTCCCTGGGCTTTCCAATTTTCCTCCTCACCTGCTCAAACTCTGCAATGCCCAGTGTGAAGAAAGATTTTGCTGGACCCAATGGCTCATTTGTTTTAAACAATTTGATATAGGATACACTGCTGGGAACCAGCAAAGCGCTATGGGACCCAAGGTCGTGCTGTTTTGTTTTGAGCTGTAGCTTCTTGAGTCACACTGAAGAACATTGTAAAAAAAATTTGCTGATCCCTAGTCCTTGGGAAATGTTGCCTTTTTGGGCTACAACTACCATAGTCCACCCGCCAGCATGGTTAGTAGCTGGATTGTGGATTGCAGGAGGCTGTTTGTTTATTATGAACATACAAGAGAAATACCAGCTAAACAAGGGGTGAAAAAAGGAGATTCAGTGAGTTTCAAAATGTTTATAATTAGATGAAATTTTCCAAAATCTTGATTAGGGGAAACACAAAGGGATAAATATCAACGGGAAGCAAGTCAGTCACCTTCAATACGCTAATGATGCAGCAGCTATCGTAAATAACTCTGATAACTTGCAAAGTATGTTGAAAGAATTAAAAACTGAATAGGAAAAAAATGGTTTTAAACGAAATAAACAAAAAACCCCACAAATATAATGTCCAATCAAGAAGGGAAAAAAAGGAGTATTATAATTGATGGCTAACTCCAAGAGCAGTGAAAGGACAGATGTCAAGGACCAGACCAACAGATAAAGAAAGAAGTCAGGTTATTTGACAAAATGCAAAAATAGTCGATGTAAAAGAATGGATGGATAGGCCACACCCTTGTCTCCTAATTTTTAGTCTTGATACCTTAGCCTTCCCCCATATACCTGCAATGATGAGAAATAAGAAATGGAATATAACAATAATAATGAAATTAAATATTTAAAGTAGTCTTTTGGGTCACATGCATCCTCCTTGAAGTGTGATTCTCTGATTGTTGGAAATCTGAAAAATAACCCTCAGCTTTGCTACCTCTGCTATAGATGCTCAGTTATGCTAAAGACATTTCAATATTGCAAATGTCCAGTGAGAGATGACAAGTGGCAGCTTATGATATTTTGGAACTCACTTGCCAGCTGATATTTCATTATACACTAACTCAGTTTGGCATGTTCTGAAATACAGACAATGTACTACAAAAGAAGAAACAAAGAAGTCTGTCCATAGACACTGTGTACTTCCTGCAACACTTTTTTTGTTAACAGTATCAACACTACATATAGGTTGGGGCTTATCCCAGCATATGCCCCTGGCCTCTTATTCTGAGATGTAAAGATTTAAAAAACATTTCCAACAAAGTTTAACAAGCTCACACAACACAAGCATACCTCTCCAAATTATAATATGAGCCTTCCGTATTGATTGTTCTGGTATCTCTTTTTCAAAATCTATGTATAATGCAATGAAAGGTCTGACAGGAGAAATGTGTAGTTTGACACACCTGTGTTCAGTTTTTGAACCACAAGGAAAATTAGAACAGGGCAGGAAAATGCACAGCATATGAAGATTACGACCCTCACATGGCCATATATATAAATAAAAAATGGAAGGGGTTTAACTTTGAAAAATCTGAGGTTACCAAACTTTATATGCTCATTGTGTATGAAAACTTGTTTATTAAATCAGCTCTATCATCTATAACCCTATTTTTAATTGAGACTTATTACAATATTATTGAATAATGTAAAATAATTTCAGTTATTACTTGAAAAAATATATAATTAGATTGAGTTTTTTTCCCTTCTTGCTCCAAAGTGAGAAATGACATCATGAGTTTTGGGTTTAACAGTCTGATGAACGCTTAGGAGAGTCAGTCAAGCATCTCCTGTGGAACTCCAAAGACATGACTTCAACTCTTCAATGTGGAAAACGTTCTCTCAAGCATTACAATTAAAGCTGACAGAGTAGCTAGGATTGCCAACAATTTGCAGATATTTGAATTAAAAAGTTGGTCACCATTTTCTATTTCTTCTAATACACTCTCTGACCTCTCTCATGTTTACAAACTGTCATTTATTTTTTCACATTTGTAATTCAGCTACAGTAACAGCGTTCCATGTCTAGCTGCACTGGCCATGCAACCACAGAAATTGTCTACGGACAAAACGCTGGCTCTATGGTTTGGAAACGGGGATGAGCACTGCCCCCTAGAGTTGGACACGACCGGACAATTTGTCAAGGGGAACCTTTACCTTTCAGCATGTACAAGGTGACCTGCGACCCCTCAGAGATTGCTTTGGGACCGTCTTGGGAGTCCCATCCCTCCTTTGGGAAACACTGGTTTAGAGGATCATACATCCTCCAAAATTTAACTATTTTCATCTTTACTTGCAAGTATTGCATTTACTTTATAAAGAAAGATAAACATCTGTTGGGGTCATGCTTATATAAGAAATGGAGCTTTTGTTTCCTGCTACACCAGAAATGATTTGCAAATGACTTTTGCATCTCTTGGATTTCACCAGCAATTAAGCACTTTCAGAACACCATGCAAAGTGAAATTTGCAAATAGGATTGTTTGTTCCTGCTGGAGTTTACAAAGAATCATCTCTTCCATCCTCTTCCCTGACCCCTACCATTCATAAAGGTTGCAGATTATGGTTGTGTTTCTCTTAGATTACAGAAATGATCTGAAAGCAGTTAAACTCTCCTCCTTCCCTGCTGCTGATCTACTCATTATACATTCTGAAAACTTATCTCAGCTTTGAAAAGTTCCTGCTTGCCAGATAATCAGTTCTACTATATGTTGGTGTCTGTGAGGTGCTTCTGTGTAAGGCTGTATATGAAACCACATCTTGAAAATTGCATTTAAGAGGGCAGATTTTAATACATAATGGCTGGATATCAAATATGCCAAGTTTGTTCTATGGATATTACTATTTGCTGGAAGCAAATGCAAATATTATTGTAAAGTATGCTACAAAACCTTTGAACTAAGTAATAGAACCATTACATCCAATGAACTAGAACGTTAAAGCATATCAACAGTCCATTGCAATATGTTTCGGTTCCAAGTCAAGTATAAGCCTCTGCAAAAACTGGAAAACATGTTTAGAGTGATGAAAATTGCAAAGAACTACCTGCCATACAAACCAGTATGGCTCCCTATGTAATCAAGGACTGTGTTAAGATCGCAAACTCTCTGTGGGCTTTGCAAGTAATGGTGATGTCATTTCACTCATATAGCAACATCAAGTGAATGCTGTCAAACAGCCAAACAGCCCAGCAGTTTTATCCTGTGGAAACACAAAAACAACCTATGTTGCCTCTCTTGTTACAACCACCATAAAAAGAACTTATGAGAAATTATTTTTGCAAGTTTAGCTACATTAATGGGATGGGGGGTTGCAACTCTTTCACATCCGCCTTATGTATAGCCATGACTGGGGGGGAGGGGAAGAAAAAAAAGTCAGAAGTGGCTATGCTTCCTGTCTTGTGTGTACTTAGACCCTAAATACTGTATTTTTCCATGTATAAGACTATACTTTTGTCTAAAATCTTTAGACTAAAAATTGAGGGTCGTCTTATACACGGAAGTAAGCTGAGGAGAGAACAAACACAAGTGGAAGAGAAAGCAGGGATCAAAGCAATTCTGCAGCACTTTTATCCCTTTCCCCCTACACTTGCTAAGCCTCACTTAGATTTCTTAATTTTGGATTAGAAAAGTGGGGGGGCATCTTATACATGGTGGTGTCTTATACACGGAAAAATACAGTACTCAGCACCTGAAAAGATCTTTTATTTTACCTCTTTTTAGAGCCTTCAGTGGAATGATTCTTTGGGCCATCACCGCTGAAGAATTATTTTCAACAACAGCAAAGCGAAGGAATACGAGATCTTCAAAGTGAATCCGGAAGAGGAACTGTTCATTCCACATGGGATTGAGAGTATTGCGATGAATGGGCTTAGTGCGGAAGTGGCAGCTATCCAGAGGCATCCCAAGCACATCCACTTCAATGCACGGGCTTCCTGTGCTGTTGCTAGGACAAACATTCTGTCCAGAAACAATCTGAAATACCAAATAAATGTGCAAGGCAATAACAGAGTGCTTTTTATACATTCTCAAGCTTGTGCTTCCAAAAGATGGTTTCAGCAGTATCCCAGTAACGAGTAAATAGCTCATCTACACATGAGCTGCACAGAAACAGCAATCTTATAATTTGCTACTTCTTTGTTCTGATGTAAAACAGCAGCTGCTTCTGGGCAAGCACCCAACTGAAAAAGCTCAGTACCTTTGGAAGCCAGATGTCCACCAACACCCAAGCTTCCAATTCAATAGATTTGGGATTGTAATCTGTTTTCATACATGTGCTGCCCTTAATTAATGAAGGCAGAAGTTGAAATAACAAATAATTCTCTCTCCCTCTCCCCTCCATGCTTCTATATGTTACTTGTTGTAATCTTCTTATCAAGGATAATTCACCCCAGTTTAAAGTAAACTGTATTTTGTGTCAATACTTCTTAATTGATTACAATTACTTATAAACCTTTCATTATAAAAGACAATAAGGTAGTTTATTAGAGGGGAAAAGCAACACAATGGAGACAACTAGAAAATAGACAAGACATCTACAGGTACAAGATTCTGGCCCAGGAATATCTCCATGAGTAAGGAAGTATTCATGGAAGCTAATATTCATGGAAATTAAGTGTTGCCCTAAGACTCATGATGGAAGAAACATGGATTAAAAAAACAAACAAACTAATCTCATGTACCTCAGGGACTTGGTGGGATATTCCATGATATGGAGCCACCCAATTCTTTGGGTCATCCAAATATGCTACATTTGGTCTATAAAGATTAAAAGATTTCGCTTACCATAAGGGAATAAATAGCTGGTTCCATATTGTCTAAATCTCGTTCTAAAGGACAAAAATGTTGATACATTGGGCAGTTCTTATTCCATAAAACAGGTGGTTTTAGAACATACCCACAGCCACCATTTGATTCAAACATTGCTGCATTCAGATGCAGGGGAAGATCTACAAAAGAAAGCATTCTAAATGTTAAAATTGCTATGATTTGAAAGGAAGACAGTACATTCAAAATACCACTTTTTTTAAAAAAAAAAAGCTATTTCATTTCAATTTTGTCCAATAGCCAAAGGTATCTGTAAAATTGCAAATGAAACAGATTAACCTGTGACAGGTTGGAAGTAACAGAACCTTTTAGTTCAGTTCTAACATTCCTTCATGTTTTCATAAATCCAATAATTATTTTAGCTTTAAAGGACAGAAAACTATGGCTGAAATCATGTTGCTAGTGTAGTAAGTAGCAATTAGATTAGAATTTAGAGTTGACTCATCAAATCCCCACTGATTCAATGGACTTAAACTAGTTGTGACTTACAGTACTATGCTAAGCAACAAGATTTCAGCCAATAAAAATGTATCAGGAGTCCCAATACAGTTGTATTTATTGCAGAAATACTTGCAATACGTTTAGATGAAAACACCTTGTGTAAGAGACAGAAACAGTCAATCCAACTAACTACTTTAAGACAGCACATCTGCATTTAAGTTTATTTTGTTTCCGACCCAATCAGATTAAAGCAAGGCATGCTAATTTTAAATGGCTTATGGACTCTATCATAAAGAAACAGAAGGGCAGAATTTGCCAGCCATGTGTGCAATTGAATAGAAGCAAGTCATTCAAGGCAAATTCATGATCAAACAGCAATAGCTGGAACATCTCAAAATATGAAATTCCCTGAATTATTATGGTCATTGGTTCATCTAGACTAGTTTAGTATACTTTGGCAGTGGCCATCCAGAGTTTCACAGCTATGCCTTTCCTAGCATCTGCTAACTTGAAATTTTTAAATTGGAGATGCTCAGATTTGAAATTGCTACCACACACAAGCAGAGCATCTGCTCAATGTCTATTCTAATTCCTTCAGTGCTAGGAGATTTAGAAACATAATCTCAAATACAACATGGAAACTGTTATTATACAGCAGTTGTCTTTACAATATTTAAACATGACTGAAATATATGATGGGGGAGGGCAAGAAGTATTTACTTCTGCATCAGTACATGTGCCCAGGATCTGGTATAAACTAGGCTTCCCACAACTCTGAACTGTGCAGTGAGGCAGAGTGTGTAGCTGAGTGCTACTTCAAACACTATCAACACTTTACTAAGCTTTTCCTTGCTTGATCCACAATATAAAAGTGAATATGTGTAAAAACTCTTTTTTCACCTACTGCATAATCTTTTGTTTGCTGTTAACATAAGAACATCAGAACAGCCCTGCTGGATCAGGCCAAGAGCCCATCTAGTCCAGCTTCCTGTATCTCACAGAGCACCAGATGCCTCTGGGAGCACACAAGACAACTAGATACCTGTCTCCCCTGCATCTGGCAATTTGAAGTACCTTCATCCCCATCATGGCTTGTAACCTGCAATGGACTTTTCTCCAGGAATCTGTCCAATCCCCTTTTAAAGGCATCTAGACCAGCTGCCATCACCACATCCTGTGACAAGCAGTTCCACAGACTAACAACACACTGAGTAAAGAAATATCTTTTCTCACTCTCCCAACACTCAATTAGAGTGGATGACCCCTGGTTCTCGTATTGCGTGAAAGGGAAAAGAGCTTTCCTCTAGTCTATCCACTTTATTCATCCCCTGCATAATTTTATATGTCTCGATCACATCCCCCCTCAGGCACCTTGTCTCTAGACTAAAGAGCTCAAAATACTGTAGCCTTTTCTCATAAGGGAGGTGCCCCTGCCCAGTCATTATTTTAGTTGCTCTTTTTCCAGGTCTATTATGTCTTTTTTGAGGTGCAGCAACCAGAACGACAGGTTACCCACCTGTAATTGTAGTTCTTCAAGTGGACCTCTGTGATTCACACCCTGGGGTGATCCGTACCAGTGTGGAGCCTCATTGGAAAGTTCTAAAGCTTCTGTGGTAGCAAAAAACACATTAGAATAAAGCCCCCCCAACTTGTATAAGTACCTTGTCACCAAGGCTCCCCTTTCAGTTGTGTCAACTGCCGCTACATTAAGCAGAATGGTGTGACAGCGGGCAGGACGGGCGGGATGTGTGAATCACAGAGGTCCACTCTAAGAACTACAATTACAGGTGAGTAACCTGTCGTTCTTCGTGGCCTCTGTGAATCACACCCTGGTTGACTAAAAAGCTGTCTTACCTGGAGGCAGGGTGTCACGCCAAGGTAGAGGCTAAAACAGTACATCCAAAGGCCACATCAGGCTTCTGCTGGAGATCAAGTCTATAATGCCGGATGAAAGTGGACGGCTCTGCCCAGGTGGCAGAGGCGCAGGTGTCTGGAAGAGGTACACCGCGTAAGAATGCCGTAGAGGTCACCACTGCTCTGGTGGAGTGAGGGCGAATCACCTTCAGGACCAGCTGATACGCGAGGTGAATGGTTGAAGCGACCCATCTGGATACAGTTTGAGATGTCACCTGGCAACCTTTAGTAGGTGGTTGGTGATTTATGAAAAATCAAGGAGAACACCTGAAAGGTTGGGTGCATTGGACGTAAAAGGCAAGGGCTCGCCTAACGTCTAAAGTACGGAGGATTCTTTCTTGAGTTGTGAACGGTGACAGGAAGAAGGAAGGCAGGATAAATAGCTGAGAGAGACGGAATTGAGATATGACTTTGGGGAGGAAAGAAATATCCATGGATAGTTTGACTTTGTCCGGAGAAAAACTGTAAATAAGGATAGCCGTGATGTAAGGCCGCTAAATCACTAGCTCATGGAGCTAAAGTAATGGCGACGAGGAAAACTGTTTTAAAAGTAAATAGCTGTAAATCAGTTGAAGCTAAAGGCTCAAAAAGAGCTTTAGTAAGTTGTTGCAGTACTAGTGTTAGTGAAGGTGGTCGGGTATCTGGATAGATATGAGATAGACCTTTAAGAAAATATTTCAATGTTGGATGCTTGAAGAACTCAGCTGCTGGAGAGTTAGGGGGCTGATAGGAAAACTATGGCAGAGAGGTAAACTCTCAAGGAAGAGACTTGAGATGAAGCAAAAAACGTAGGACAGCAGCAAGTGATGGGTTGATAGAAAGCAAAGAAGAAGCTTCAGTGAAAGATTTGAATCTGTTCAGTTTATACAGGTAAGCCTTTCTAGTGGAGGGCTTCTTTGATTGACGGAGGACATTCATTAGTAAGGCAGACTCCTCCACGCTGCCAGATACAGAACAGGTAAGTCTGGGTGGAGTACTTGGGTGTTGTTCTCCATGAGGAGGTGGGGCAGGCAGGTGAGGGAGGGAGGTGGTGAATGTCTGATGAGAGAAGGACTGGAAACCAAGGTTGTCTCTGGCCACCAAGGGGCTATAACGATGGCATCAGGTTTGTCTTGTTGTAGGCAAACCATGACCTTATGGAGAATTGGGAATGGCAGCAAAAGGTAAGTGAGGATCTTGGGCCATTGGCCGACAAATGCATCTCCTTGGGAATGTTTGCCAATGCCGGCTCGGGAGCAGTATCGTTTGCACTTCTGATTCACATGGGGGGCGAAGAGGTCGAGAATTGATTTGCCCCATCATTTGCATAGGCGAAGAAAAACTGATTGGTCTAACTCCCATTCATGAGCTTGAGAGTTTGCGCAGCTGAGTAGATTGGCCAAGTTGCCTTGGCCGGCAATGTGTAAAGCCATGAGGCAGATATGATGTGCTAGGCACCACTCCCAGAGGTTGACCGATAAACAGAGGAGACTTGGAGAGTGGGTGCCACCTTGTTTCAGAATACAGTACATCGCTGTGGTGTTGTCGGTGGCAATTTGTGCCATCTTACCAGGGAGCTTTGCAAGCTTTTATAACCGCCAACAGCTCTAATTCACTAAAAGAGTGTGAGGAGGGTCTGTGAGTGGGTCGAAGAGGGCAAGAGACCACAACTGAAGAGATCTCATCTTGAGACGTACGTGTTGCACTACTGAAATCATAGAGGTCATGGTGCCTAGTACACGTTGCACAGTCAAGGCGGGTACCTTAGCACGAGGGGTGAAGACTTGAAGTAATGCGATGAGATTTTCTCTCTTGTGTGGAGGAAGAAAGGCGTGAGCTTGTGTGGAATCTATGCATGCACCTATATAGTGAACAATCTTTGTATCTTGAGACGTACGTGTTGCACTACTGAAATCATAGAGGTCATGGTGCCTAGTACACGTTGCACAGTCAAGGCGGGTACCTTAGCACGAGGGGTGAAGACTTGAAGTAATGCGATGAGATTTTCTCTCTTGTGTGGAGGAAGAAAGGCGTGAGCTTGTGTGGAATCTATGCATGCACCTATATAGTGAACAATCTTTGTAGATTTCAAATTTGATTTATGTTCTTTGTCAGCAAGACTGAGATAGCGAAGGAGGATAAGGGTGAAGTGCATGTCTCATTGGGCCTTGTGATGGGAATGAGCAACGAGGAGCCAATTGTCAATATATGGAAATATGAGAATTTTTTGCAACCTGACGTAAGCAGCTACCGGTGCCATGCACTTGGTGAATACTCTTGGAGCTGTTGCAAGGCCAAAAGGAAGCCTTTTGAATTGGTAGGCTTGTGATCCTAGTTGAAATTGAAGGAATTTTCTGTGTGAAAGATGTATGGAAATATGCAAATCTGAGATCTATGACGGTGAACCAGTTGTTTTTACAGAGTAAAGTAAGAACTGATTCAAGGGTAACCATATGGAATTTTGTGGTAATGATGTATTTGTTTAACTCTCACAGGTCTAAGATAAGACGAAGACCTCCGTCCTTTTTGGACATGGCGAGATAGTAAGAGAAAAACCCTTTGTTGTGATCGGAATAATCGGGATTGCATTGGGAGTCGACAGGTTGTCGATTGACTTAGGTGTCAATAGGCTGAGTTTTAGTTCGATTGACTTAGGTGTCAATAGGCTGAGTGTCATAGTATTGATGTTTTTGGCTCAATGTCGATGGAGGTGGCATGTCCATGGACATTTGTTGGTGTCGAGGATTTTCGCTGGGCATTTTCAAAAACCAACTCAAGACCTGGTTCTATAGACAAGTCTTCACTCCGGGCACTATGTAACTTCCTCTTTTTCTCTATCTTTATCTACTTTGTTCTGTGTAAATGCTGTAAATTGTTATTTGATATTGTTTTATTCTGCATTTTGTGAGCCATCCAGAGTAGACTAAGTCTAAATGGGCGGCATATAAGCTCAATAAATAAATGGATGTCATTTGATATGGTTGCATGTTGGTGTTTAACTTGGGGTCATAGTGATGTTGAATTCGATGGCTTGGTTCTATTGGGTGACAGAAATCTTGCATTGACTGAGGGACAGAATGAGTGTCCATGGACCAGGATGGATACTGAGGATCATCGATTTAAGAGCCTGTGTCTCGGTGGTATCAAAACAGAGGTTGCTGACGAGCTGGTAAAGCAGTGGAATATATAGACGTTGGAGATGCCAAGCTAGAAAATGATTTCCCTCATCTGGATTAGCAGGAAAATATCGGGAAGCTTTCTACAAAAGCCTTACATGTAGAAGAAAATTGCTTGACCATCCTGGATCTTTTAGGTGCCAGGTAGGGAGCTGGACCATAAAGAATGCTGACCACCAAAGAATTTATGCTTTTGAATTGTGGTGCTGGGGGAGACTCTTGAGAATCCCCTGGACTGCAAGGAGAACAAACCTATCCATTCTAAAGGAAATCAACCCTGAGTGCTCACTGGAAGGACAGATCCTGAAGCTGAGGCTGCAATACTTTGGCCATCTCATGAGAAGAGAAGGCTCCCTGGAAAAGCCCCTGATGTTGGGAAAGTGTGAAGGCAAGAGGAAAAGGGGACGACAGAGGACGAGATGGCTGGACAGTATCATTGAAGCTACCAACATGCCTTTGACCCAACTCTGGGAGGCCGTGGAAGACAGGAGGGCCTGGCATGCTCTGGTCCATGGGGTCACGAAGAATCGGACACGACTTAAGAACAACAAGAGGAAGCAGGTTGGAGTCCATGTGAGTCATGGTGATATGGCCGTTTTGACACTGATGGCTGTCGAGATCGAGGCCCGCCATGAGAAGGTATGGCCGAGCTGGATAGAGCAACTGGCTGACTGGCAGTTGCGGTTTGTCTGACTGAGTACTGGTTGGGGCAAATGGCAACCTGATGTGAGTGCTGAATGTGGGTCTGAGCCACGCATGATGAGATAGACGGCTCCAGGGACTGTTGGGGCTGATGTCTCTGAGGCAGTCATGGTGGAGGATCAGATATTGAATAAGGTATAGTCTCTAGTTGTTGTCCAGAATCGACCCTGTCAGGTGAAGCAACTATGGAAGGGTTACTCGAAGGAACAGAGTGTTGAGGACTGGGAGGAGAAGATGTTAATCGATCGACTCTGTCATCCCATTCCGGTGATTGGGAGCAGGGTTGATGAGAGGGGATTCCGTCATCGTCAGAAGGCGAACCAACAGAGATTGATTCGGCAGTTTGTTGAGGCTGCTGAGATATGACTGCAGCTTTAGATTTATGCTGTTTAGGTCTTTTAGGCAGAGAAGGTTCTGGGACTGAAGAGGCTTTGGTGGACACTTGACATTTAGTGGAGGGCGTCGATATCGAGGATTTTGGTATTGAGTGCTTCAATTTATGGATTTCTGAAATCTTAGACGAAATAGATGGAGTGTCAGAGTGGGATGGTGTGGTCGATGGGCATTGTTTTGAGGTTTCAGAAAGAGCCTTCTCCATTGCTTTGGTTTGTGAGGTGGCCTTACAAGGAGGTTGGGCCATTTTGGTTGGTTGAAGGGATTGTTCCCAAAGAGAGAGTTTTAACCTGGATAAGCAAGAATGGAGGACTCCATGCTTGAAGTTTTTACAATGCTGGCAGGAGGACATCTGGTGTGTCTCTCCCAAGCAAAAAAGACACTTGGCATGGCCATTGGAGAGTGGTATTTTATTACCACAGACCACTCAGTGTTTAAATGGGCCCAGAGGGGCCATGTAATAGGAGAAAAACAATTTGAGGAGAAAAAAAGGATGATAGGGAGGTGCTGTGGCCACAGTCCAAGTGAAACAGAAAGGAAAAATCTCTGATGATAATGACATTGAACTAAAAACTTAAAGGAAAAAAGATTGATAAAGGAATCAAGAATAAACTCTCTTTTTCTTTTACTCCCAGAAGCAGAAACTATGAGGCTCTCAATGCAATGGTTGAATGAAAACTGAATGGGGAGCCTTGGCGCCAAGGTACCTCTAAGAGGGGGGAGGGGCTTTATTCTAATGTGTTTTTTGCTGTCGCAGAAGCTCTAGATTCTAGAACTTTCCGATGATGCTCCGCACAGGCTCGGATTACCCAGGGTGTGATTTACAGAGGCCACGAAGAAGAACTGTACACAATATTCCAGGTGCGACCTTACCAGCGTTTTGTACAATTGCATTATAATGTTTGCTGTTTTATTTTCAATCCCCTTTTTAATGATGAACTTACAAATGTTGGGCACATGCAGTAGCATCCACTGCTCATTCTGTGTAGAGTTCCCCAACACAGAGAAGAGCTTTTCAGAGGAATTCCTAGGGCAAGAAGGCCACCGTATCTGAGTCCAGCATTATGACTGTTGATAGTTCATATGGATTATAGAATAATGTAAACAAAGTACACAAAAAACAGTCCAAAGCAATCATTTCTTTTGTGAAGTTTGCGGTGCCACATGTTATAATACTGAGGAATCAGAGAACACATACCATCAGTCTGATAATTTAATGCCACCAGCTGTACCCCATGAAGCCAGAAGAGAAGGGGATGAGGATTAGACGAATCAATGCGTGTAGCAGCTGGATATGTTCTGAGCAGCTGGCAGGTGGTATGCTGTATCAACTTCTGTGAATATCGCCTGCACAAGCGCTTGGCAGCATTTTCATTCAAAGAGGAGATATGGTAACATCTGGGAGTCCTTATTATTGAACTGAGGGAAGCTGTAGGGCTGAGAGTAGAAGAAGCTTCTTCCCATGTCTGTCGTACACCATCGAAGGCACCTAGAAAATGGATGGTATTTCAAAAGTATAAATGTGCAAGCATTTAACATTTCCATGTCTTCCTCTCATTCCTAAGAAGCATAATATATTAAGAGGAAACAAAGACATGACTGATTATCAAGAAATTGTTCCCCAAATCAAGAACAGAAATTGACACAACAGCAAGGAAATCTTTTGTATTTCCAGAAGTTCCCTCGAAGATTTCTCTGCTCTGGCCCCTTTAAGAACATAACAGTGGCTAGTTTCTTCTGAAGTGAGCAAGACTGCAGAGAATTCTAAAGAAATAACAGCTGCATGTTTTGTTTTGTATTTTAAAACATTACTTATAAATCAATTTCAAGAAGATTTCAAGTTAGATATGGACATACAGTAGTCATGACTACAGAGTGCCATTTAGGGGCAAGTGAGTCATGGTTAGCTTAGTTCCCATTTATTTCAATGGCGCTACTACCACCACAATTGAGCCTTGTTTTCACTTCTTGAGTATTACAACTGACAGGAGGAAGGAACTCTTGAGTGCAACTACATGGTCAAATATCAGAGGAATTCTCTGCAGGAATTCTCTCTGCCAGAATTTTGTGGTCTTCAGCAAAAACAAACAAACTCAAAGCTCTTTCAAATCATGACTACAGAAGAACTACACAACGTTAGAGTTGACAATGTAGTAATTGAAACAGATATTTTATATACCTTGGTTCAATCACCAATCCAAATGGAGACTGCAGCCAAGAAATCAAAAGAAGATCAAGACTAGGAAGGGCAACAATGAAGATAAATCAAATGTATGGATGTGTCACTGAAGATCCAAGACCAAGATCATCCACAATCTTGTATTTCCAACCATCATGTATGTATGGGTGTCAAAGCTGGACAGTTAAGATGACCAGAAAAAAAAACTGATTCATTTGAAATGTGGTGCTGGAGGACAGCTTTATGGACACTTTGGACTGCCAGAAAGATGATGAAGTGGGTCCTGGATCAAATCATGCCTGAACTACTTCTGGAGGCAGAAATGTTGAAAACTGAGGCTTTCTTACTTTGGGCATATCCTGAGAAAACAGGATTATCTAGAGAATACTATAATACTGGGAAAAGTAGAAGGCAGCAGGAAAAAGAGAAACATCAAATACAAGGTGGACTGACTCCTCTTCTTCTCAAGCTAAATGAGGCACTCACTGTTCACCTTAGCCCTCATTTAGTGTTGCATTAAACATCATCATGATAAATGAACAAGGTCTCTTTCCTAACCAGATTTCGTCATGACTGAAAAATCATAAACGGAAGGCATTCTCTCACATCCTCACCAGAGAAGCCTCCAAGGGTAGCAGGACTGAGATTAAGGGGTTTTTCCAGAACTGAAAGCTGGGCAAGCTTGAAAAGGAGAATACAGTGTTTCAGATAGCTAGGACCGATATCAGATAGGGTTTTGATACGTCATAAACAGCACTTTGAAATCTTTTTTAAAAAGCTAAGTCTTAAGAGTGAGGAAGTGTTCCTCTAAGTCTTCTGATTTTGTACATTCACTGACAACTTTCCAGAACAAAATGGAAAATATTACCCCCTCCACACAGGGTTCTTTGTTTTATTTTAAAAGCATACACACCTTGACATATAAACCAGTCTCCTAAGAAATAAACATATTAGCTTGCAATATGGCTTTCCAAGTAATAGAGCTTATGATTAAATGTATATTTCTAGTAATCAGACATTGTTCCAACAGCTCATTACTTTACATTAGATCCATTATGTGTAATGAAGTTATTATAATGGTTGGCTGCTAATGGAAAATTATTCCAAACTGTGAGTGCTGCCTATGTAGAACAATGTGTCTGATCTTTAACTCGAGGGTCGAGTAATATGAGTTGGATTACAGAGCCATTCCATGCAATTGGTAAGAAAATATTCTGACTTTACCTTTTCCAGATGTTTTGGCAAAAACTGCTGGCTCCCCTGGGCTCAGCCTTCCAGGATTGTTGCCAAAAATGGACTTCCTGCTTTTTCTTTCCTTTCCTCTGCTAGAGCCAGATGGATTTAGAGTTGACAGACCTATTTCCATTAAAAATATATATCTTATAAATTGACTGAAAAACAGGAGCAAGTGGGCATGATATTTTTCTGGGTTTTTTTTTTTTTTTACAATTTATTTCCAAGAGTTACTATTCTAATGATTTATGAACAGATATACTGGTCTGTATGTTGTCCCAATCCAGCCATCCCTTGAATTTATAATGTGCCCATGAAACACATTGATTTTTAAGGGCATCCTTCTTCCACTTGGGTCCTACACAGAAATGCCATGAAGGTACATTTTAAAAGATTATTTAAGTTGCCTTCTTAGTACTGTATATTGGAGTTAGGAAATTGTGTGGTTCAGATTCTAAAGTCCAAGAAAAGAATTCTGATCATAGAACAAGAATTCTCGCCCTAGGTCCAGGAATGGTTAGCAACGTGTGGCCCAAGGTCAACACAGCTTCCACAGGCTTTCCTCTAAATGCTAGAAAAAATTCATTCCCCAAATGGCAAATTGCACTGCCAGAAGCCTCTGGGGGATGGGATTTGCCATCTAAACTCATTTCTCTCTCCTCATAGCAGCATATTTTAGGCTTAAAATGTTTAAAGGAAAGGAAAAGAAAGTGGATAGCCCTACAAGGCCTTGTTTATGCCTTAAGAGGTGTTTCTTACAACTGGAAATAACAAGCTAGAACAAGCCAAGGAGAGGTGAAATTCTGCTCAAGTTGCAAATGATGCTCTGCCCAAGACCTTCTGGGGATGTGATCTTTCATTTGGGGAGCTAAAAATTTATATCTTTTTTTTCTCCCTTTGGCCAGGAGGGTGGGAGGTGTCGAAAACCTAACTGTCTATGATCTGAAAGAGGATAAAAATAGCTTCTTGGAAGTTGCCTGCCCTAATATACAATGCAGTGTAGGAAGAGAGAGTAATACCGAAAACTACCTCTCCTTGCATAACTGGAAATGCCCATCTGCTCATTTAACTTTAGACCAAATGCGTAAGAGTACCAATTGTGTCAGATTTATTTCCAGAGAAGAACTTAATGTTGGTTCTTGTGCTCATTTTTCCTTCCATGTCCATGGGCACTCCTGCCCACCCGGATCACCCGCACGAGTCAGGAGGAGAGGCTGAGGAGACTGACGCTGAGAGAGGCCCGGAAGGAAAAGACACGAAACCGGGCCTTCTTGGCAGTGGCTCCTCGCCTCTGGAACAACCTCCCTTCAGAGATTTGTGCGGCCCCTACACTGGGAATCTTTAAAACCCAATTAAAAACATGGTTGTACATCCAGGCCTTCCCTCCAGTCAATACCTGATTTCTTTTCTATTCCTTCTTATTTTATTCTCCCTCTATTTTATTATAACTGTATCAAATGATTATGTAATGTTCTTGTGTTTTATTGTTTTATCCTATACTGGAAGCCGCCTAGAGTGGTAGAGAAGACCAGATAGGCGGGGTATAAATCAATCAATCAATCAATCAATCAATCAATCAATCAATCAATCAATCAATCAAATAAACAAACAAACAAACTACAGCTACATGGGACAGGCTTTTATGAGGCAGACTGTACTCAGCAATACGTGTTTTCAAAAAGGAGTTACAGCCAGCTGAAAATAATTCTCTTGAGACCAAATCCTTTGATTAAAAACAATCTGTGAAAAATGCATCAGGGTCAAACAATTGTTAGAAGCCAAAACTATGTTCTATAAAGCAATTCATAACAATGCACACAATGCAACCTTTCATTCTCCCACAGAATAAAATTAGAATTCCCATCTTTTTCTCTTAATACTTCTGCAAGCCAGTGTTCCCTTTTTGCCATGGGCCATTTTCCTTCTACAACCCAACCCAATGTAGTATGGCTGATGGCCCAGCTGCCACATATCGTTGGTTCTTACTCCAGTCCAATTTCCTGCTTGTACTTCCACCCCAATGTAATCCCACTCTTTCAGTTCCGTTGTTGGACTGTAACCAAACTCTTCTGAAAGAATTCGTTGTTTTTCTGTTTGTACTGTATGTATTTCAGTGTGTATGGGGGACAAGGGCAGAGAGAGAGAGAGAGAGCGGAGTGGATAGGCAGCAGAGAAGGAAATGTCAGAAGGGTATGCATGGAAAGAATGTCTTTGGCTAGTGAGGAGGCAGGATAAACTTTTGAGAAAGGAATCTGACCTGCTGAATATCCCACAGAATAGGAATTCTTTTCTATTCCACACCTGGCATCTCTTTTGAGGGTGTGAGGTGCTAAAATACAAAACCCATTCTCAACGGTTATGCAATGGGAGATCAGCCTTTAAAAAAACACATTACTTGTTTCAAATTAAGTAACAATCCCAAACAATTAGCATAATATGCTTACCAGGAAATTTTACAGCTTGACAGTAGATGACAAGATCTGACAGTTCAGGTGCTATTTGTCTGCTTTCTTTTTTATTTTGAGAAAGGTAAAATTCTTCACCTAATTCCATGTCATAAACCTACATAGGGTATTAAATTATAAAAAAGGGTTTTACCATAGTCAATATACATCCATCCAGCAGTCCATCATAAACAAAATATAATCACAGCCTTATTGTACATATACACTTATTTATTTGAATAGATACATATGAATACAGTATTTTAGCATTTTCTCCTCTTGGTTTATTATTCAGAAATTTCAAAATCTATATCTCTCCTAGACCAACAGTGGGAGGTTAGCAATACCACTGTCTATCATCTTAGGAATCAGAGGCATACCCGCTAATATCCTGTTATGCAACCTATGCCTGCATAATGTGACAATATCACCAGCAGAAGAGATTTTGAGTAATTTAAGAGTTCCTCTTTCTCTCCTGGGGCTCCGAATGGCTCTCACAGAGACATTTATTATGAGTGACTCTGACAAGTAGCAGGAAAAGAAGCAGATTTTCCATTACTGAAAAGCTCTTGCTGGTGACATCATCACTGTTATGTAGGTGTGACTTATATAACATAATTCTGGCCATTGTGTCCAAGGATTAAAAACCAAATAATAAGACATACGATCCCTCTACTAAAAAAAGAGCAAAAATATTAAAAAACTATTAATTCTACCTTGTGTACATACATATTTTCTCCCCAAAACTCATTTAACTAATTTTGTAAAAAGTGAGTAGCCCAGTCTATTTATAGAAAACCAAACACTTCAGGACAAAGTTAAGTTATATCTTCTAGCTGAAATGCTGGGTTTATCCCAGCAAAAGAACCACACATGCATTATTATCCTTCCCTGGAAGAGATTCTGCCAATTCAACATTCTGAATACTTATTACAAAAATTTTCTTACGGCTTCCACTATAGTGTTCTGCAAATGTTGTAACTGAAAATGCTGCAAACTTTCTGAGTTCTATGAAAGCCATGCACATAATGAATGTGTGTTGCAAAATGAAGACACACTACTTAGAACTGCAGAACTTCAGACAGTCTTGCAGTTTATGTTGCAAAAGACTCAAGTTAAGAGAGAGAGGAAGGACTACAGTATGCAACTTGTTTATAAATACAGTCTGGGAAGCTCATTCTACAAACAAAAACGGAAGATATTCTCTCCCAACCACCCCAGCTGCTCCTGCAGCTATCCAGTTCGTACCCACAAAGAATACTGATACTATTAAATATTTCACACAACACACTTTTACAACTGCTTGACTGCAGCTCACAAAAAAGTTTCTCACTTATAAAATGAACATACAAAAATACTTCATTTTTAAGGTGACACTGGCCTAAATGGTTTTTATTTTATTACCAAGTCCCACTTCTATGTTCTAAGCCATCCCAGTATAAAATCTTTTCAGGGAAAAGAAATGAATATACACTACCTTTCCTTTATTGTTGTACATGGTGTTATCCGCCTTCTTTATTCTTTTGGCAGTTTCTTCACTGTATTCAAACTGCAGCTTATCTACGGCTAACTTACTTTCAGGTCGGTCTTCCAGAATGTTATCTGGAAAAGTAAGCATTATCTGTCTGAAGAGCTGTAAAGGCACATTTTGCTCAAAAACTGAATCCTTCTGGACACGGAAGTCAATATAACTTTGAATAATTATTCAATTATTAACTAGTCAAACACATTTCCTTCATGGCAATGTTCTTTAATGTAGAATTTAACAACCAGCTTCTAGCCCAGTCTGTTTCAACGTGGTGTCCTCCACTTGTGTTAAGGGTTCACATCCCAGTATCCCATTTAGCACAGGTGGAAGTTGTAGCCCAACACCTCTGGAGCCACCAGTTGAGGAAGGTTTTTTTTTTTAATCTTAGTGAGCATACAGTTTCTTAAGAAGCAAAGCAAAAGGAGACTTTCCACTTTAAATGTTTGTGGAATAATACATTAAATTAGAGTTGCATTAATTATTTTAATATAGCAATTACAAATATATTATTTAAATGTCTGCTGGCTCAGACTGCACTCAGACATAATACACAAGCATCTATTTGCAGCTAAGAGGGAGGGGTGTGATAGGGAGCTAAAGAGCTTACTAAAATGTATTCTCATTCATTTATTCAAACGTGTAGCCAACGATAAAATGTATTGTGCATTGCAAATCAGTCTACATAAATGTGACTCCATAGCCTCTTTCATGATAACCAACATGTGTAAATTAGAAACCCATGTGGCACATGCAAATATTCTGAAAAGTAAGTAACAGAAAATGACAGGAATGAAAAAATGTGTTTCACTCATATGTGATCAAAGTATGCATCCCAAGATGTTCAGAAATGCAGTACAGAAATTCGTGCAGTTAAGATGCTTGACCAAGTGGCCTTTTACCTTCCTGGCTGTTAGGAGCAGGAGAAGCATTAAGGACATCAGCTATAGGAAAATAGAGTCAGAAAGGGCGTAAGAGGAAGGGAAATTAAGAAACAAAGCCAGAGAAATGAAAATTACATTAAGATTATGTTGTAAAACTGTCATCTTGACACAAACACTTGTAGCAATACTACAAGGAAATAACACTGGAATCACTATTACGGAGACTGCAAAGACAGAATTGTGGCAAACAACTGACTTCAGATTAACCTAGAAAGAAGGTAATTAATCAATATTCAGGGAACTAATAGCAAGGAAGCAATCAGATAAAACATTATGTTCACCTTCACCTGGCAGAAATTTTTATCCATATTAACAGATACACACATAATGGCCAGAATCCAGTTGCTGCAAGTTATGCTGTGCCTGTTCTATGGAAATTAAATTTCCCATTCTCACCCTCATCAGATTCCAGGGACCACTTTTGTGCTAGGCAGGTTTGGGAGCTTCAGAATAGGATAAGGAACAATCTAAAGATGGGAAACTGCTGCTGGCAATCCTGCTGGCAGAGATTTTCTGACTTTAAACCATTCCTTGCCCTCTTCTTCAGCTCTTGAAGGCATCCTAGGATGAAGAAGATTCCTGAAACTTGAGTGGGTGGGTGGGTGGTGACCGGAAGCCTTTAATTCCCTTGGAATGGCCATGGCCCATGACATTAATATGCAAAGCATAATGTGTACAACAGGATTCCAGTAACTGTGTATTTCATGGAATTAACTCAAGGAAGCCCTAATTATAATGATCCAGAAGGCATTTCTTATGATGCAAGAGAATGGCTGACATTCTATTGCTTAGCATGTTAAGTCACAACCACAGTAGGAATTTGGTGAATCATCTCCTCTGTAAGTTCCACTGATTTAATGGGCCTACTCTAGTTCAATTTACTATGCTAACCCATAGGAGTTCAGCAAATATACAGCAAAACTTTGCTATGAGTTTTTTGCTACTCCTTATTTTTCACTGTGCATCTTAAAACTTCCTGTTTCACCATGTCACATCAAGTATGAGATGAGGAGTGTATTACTGCACAGTATGAAACATCCTTTCTGAACAGAATGTTTTTATCTATGCTACTAATTAAACATTCTTTACAGTTGAGTCCTTAGAAAGAATTGGGGCTGTCTTGTTTTAACAAAAAGCAGCTCAAATAACAAGCAAAAGACACAGAAACACACACAAACACACATAGAGAGACACAGAGAGACAGAGAGAGCTAGTACAGATATCAATAACTGCAATTAGAAATAACTGCTACACACCGCAATCATAGATATTTTTATTAGTTCAGTCTTACACTTTATCATCCTCATCAGTTGAACCAATGCCTTTTAATATTCTTCATTACTATGGAAATGCCAAAAATTGTGCTGTGTACCCATAAGGATTAATGTTTCATATATGATTAACTGTATTTAAAGCACATTCAAATACTGTTCTAAAACATAGTTCCTTTTCTCATCTTTCACACAAGGAAGATTGTTTGCTTATTCTTTAGAACAGTGGTCCTCAGCCTTTTTGGGGCTGCGGACCAGCTGGGGGGAGTGAGTTCCACACGGGGGGCATGCACACGCGGTGGGCGTGTTGCACTTGTGAGATCATGTCCACCGCAGGCATGACACCCCCCCCGCATGAGCATGACACGTCCACCGCATGTGCGTGCAGGGGGGGGAGCGAAGATCCGTATCTGTGGCCCAGTTCCAGCAAGCCCACGGACCAGCACCAGGCTGCGGACCAGGGGCTGACGGCCCCTGCTTTAGAATTAATCATAGCAAATGATTTAAATTGATACAAATTAACAGAAGGTGTGCATTAGGAAGATTTTTTTGTATTCTACTGGTTAAGAAATGTCACGCATGTTCTGGTTATAACTACACCCACATTATAAATCTCAGAGATACAGCATTTTAATAAGCACATTTGTGTACCATCAGATAGAGACTCATAGTCATAGTCATATTCATCTTCTTCATCCTCCTCTTCTTCATTAGGAGCAGGAATGCTTCCTGTATTACCACCATTGCTTGCCTGAGCTTGCATGTACGCCAGTTGATGAGCCTATAGGAGGAAAACAAAATTTTCAAATGCAAAAGGAATTCATTTAGCAAATACCAAGAGACAATGAGCTAAATACAATTGCAATTACAACCACAGTAGCTATACCCAGGCCAATAGGTCTGGGATTTATATTAGTGTCATCTAACAAGTTCATCTCACAATAGGCCTATTTTAGTGGTGGCTAAAATTGGATTTAGACCTTCTAAAGATATAATATAATTTTGTTACATATGTCTGCAGTCCTTATTTGCTCTAGCAATGAGCTATGTACCTTCCCAAAAAATGGCAGACTTTCCCTTATAGCATCTCCATAAACAAGAAGGGGATCCTGGCACCATTTCTTATTTCTCATTCAACTGATCTCTTCCAACTCTCCCCAAGATCATCCAATTATCCTGTTCCTGAATATTATATTTACATTAGAAAGTGCAAGGCTATCATTAAAATGAATACAACTATTAGTATGAATAATAGATAAATGTTAAAAGGATGTGAAGAGTTTATTAGAAGTATAAAATATCTGTACATCTATTATTGGCATAACATTAATCAAACATCATAACATAGGAGAACACTGCAAATTAAGGGCAGTCTAATTTAGCTTTAAACACACAAAAATATAGCTAATTACAGTACTTCTTTTCAGTTTTTATTAAATGAAAGATGTGATGACATCTCTGGTTTCTGACATATTCCAGCTTCGGAATTAATGACTTACCAAAATTACACAATTCAAAATTACATTCACTACTATTAATTTTCCCCTCATTTTTATAAGCCATGATGGATATTTCTAGATATCATGACAAGCCAAAATGGTAAACCAGTACTTTGGTAGTATTAGCTCACTGCTCTTCTGCAACTGCAACTATTAAAATAAACCAAAGATTTTTTGGCCCTTAGTTTATTTACAAAGCCATCCAAATCCATCAGTTATATCTCCTATTTATTGGGGGGGGGGCAACGTGTCTGCTCCAGTTTGGTTTGGATATCAACCAGAAAGCCCATTGTTGTTTAAGTGTCTCCATTATAAAGATCATGAACTAGTAAGCTGCTCAGCATTGAGAAGCCAGAGTTTCCCCTTAGCAGCACGTCTACTGAGACACGCAAAATCAGTTAATGTTTATTGACTTAAAATATTTTTACTCCGCTTTTCTCCTTAAAAAGGACTCAAGGCAGCTGACATCATTAATAGACAAAAACAGTTAAAGCTAAAAACAGTTAATTAAAGCTTTAAAAAGTAAGTAAACAAACACTTAAAAAGATCAAGCAATACCATACTAAAAATTGGTAAACAAAAGCAACACCAAAAACACATTTAGAGCAGAAAGGCACAACTAGAAACCCCACTCAGACAGATAGCCACTGATGGAAAGGTTGCCTGTACAAAAAGGTTTTTGCCTCCTTGTGGAAGGACAGCAGGCTGGCCTCATGTGAGAAGGAGGCCCAAAGTCTGGGAGCAGCAACGGAGAAGACCCTCTCCCATTTCCCTTCCAAAAAAGACCTGTGGAGGTGGCAGGACTGCAAGAAAGGCCTTTCCCAACAATCTTAACACCTGAGCAGGGTCTTATAGGGAGAGACAGTCCTTGAGAAAGCTTGGACCACAGCCTTTTATTATGTACATTTGAAAGCATTATCTGAGATAGACTGCAATGTTTTTCTTTTCAGTAAGCCCACCGTCCATATACATTCCGCCACTCCAATACTTAAAAAGCAACATTTACTATTCTTTTCCCACCATAATATAATTTTTATTCTCAAACCTTTTTTTTATGGAAAGGTCTTACCTTTTGTTTTAATATGTCCACTGGAGTTTGATGAGCTTTGAGCTTTTTGTTTTTAAGCAAAATCTTTCTTCTCAGTTGGTAGGGAGAAGGAAGCATTGGATCATCAGAAAAATCACTCTCGAACAAAAATTTAGTTACCAGTTTATCTCCAAATGTATTCTGGAATATCAATAAGATGCAAACGATTAAGAAAATCAGGGATAAAATTACAGATCCACACAGCATTTGAATTGTATTACTGGCCCAGTCCGAATGGTCAAATCCTGGCTTAAGAAGCCAAGCCATTCATGAGCTTCCTGCTAGGCATGGGACTTTCAGGTTAAGACGAATTGGGGGGAACCACAAAAAAGGATCTTATTTTTGTTTTAAGATTTTTTTTCATTTATTTTTGAAACAGAGCCTATTAAACCCAAATGCTTCATTTTAATGAAAGACTGAGATACGAAAGCCTTGGATTCTTTTGAGTTTCCCTCTTTCGTCTGTCCTTTCCTTCACCTTTTGTCTGTCACATCACCTAGGAAATATTTAATAAAACAGCATTTCAAGGGCTGCATCTCAGCAGCCAATTAGAACATCCAGGAGCGGGAGAAGGGAGGATTTTCAGTTGTAAAAATGTTCTTTGGTTCTAATCCTTCCCTTGTGGGTCGGCTCTGTTGCTGAAGTCCCTGGTGCCCTCAGTCTTCACTGTACTCTTTTTCTGTGCTTGTGGATCCTTTTGGTCTTTTTTCCTGGATTTTTTTGGGGGGAGGGGGGGAAATTTCTCTCCCCCCCTTTACATTTCCTGGATTATTTTTGCTCACTGCTGCTGCTGGATTCAAGGAAGAGATCAAATGGTGGAAGAGAAGAGAAATCTCCCCACATAGCAGTTGTTTTGGATGTTTTGTTTATTTGTATTTTATTTGCTTCCTTGATTTTCTTGGTCTTTGGGAGAAGGGTGGTATGCATGGTTTTTATTTTGCCTCCCCCCCCATATATGCAGAGGGGAGATGTTCTCCCTGTCAGATTAATTTTTTAAAATGGTATAATTTGTTAATGTGCTGTAAATTACCTTCCTTGCTTTTTCAAACAAGATTTTAAATATTTTTAAAGGCTTTTAAGTTGATGTTCAGTTGCCTATTTTGCCTTGCTTTGTTATAGTAATTTTAAAAAATGGTTCTTGGGCACTTCAGGATGAGTGCTAGGCAGAACCGAAATGGGGAGTCCATTTCATTTTTAATCAAAGGACTGAGACCAGAAAATGGATGAGGCACCCCCACAACTGGATGTGAAAGTTTTCCCCACGTACATTTCTATTTCCTAAATACAGAAAGCTTCTTTGCTCTCTCTTCAGACAAAAGGGAAGAACAAGACAGGAAGTCACAAGAACATTCTTGTTATCTCCAGATTTAGAAAGTATGGCCAATTGCTTCCAAACACGCCAAGCCATGAAACCATAATTTAAACTAAATTATGACTTCTAAACCCTGGTTTGTTTGGGAGCCATTGTCACAGTTCCCTCTCTATAGCCACTGAGCCACACTACTCTGTGGTGGGAGGGCCTAGGAAGGAGACAGATATGGCTAAAACCATCTCTCCTCAGAGTCAGACTAAGTCCCTTCAAGGCATCGTGAAACAGCAGGGGAATCAAAGCACTTTTCTCCTCAGAGACATTCTAGTCCAGCGAGGGCAAATCTATGGCCCGCATGCGACAGCTGGCACGTAGAGCCCCCCTGCAGTCAAACCTCAAGAGGCAGCTGCAGCCACGGTGCTGGCGCTTCAACAGGTGGCGGGCCAGGATCTGGAGGAGCTAGCGCTGGATCCAGAGTGGGGTCTCAAAGTACCTCCATGCCCGAGATTCCCCCTTCTGCCACCACTTCCAGTTCTGCTGCCACCACTTCTGGCACTGCCGCAGCCTGCCACCCAATGGATTCTTTGTTTTAGTTTGGGCACTCGAGCCCAAAAAGGTTTGCCACACTGTCCTAGTCTAACCAACTAGTTTTTCCTAATCCTTTGATAACAGTAAATAGACCATTCCTGTTGCCAACAACATCATAAGCCCTTTCATGTTCAGTCAGGACAAAAGGCAGCTTCCTGATTTGCTCTCTTCCCCCTCACCAAGCCTGCATAACTCTCTGTGAAGGAAGCAGACTGACTGCTTTCAAGGTATGAGTTACTGTTAAGTCAACTGAGTCTTTGTGGGACAGCTTTGATATATCTTCTGATAAAAGACGAGCATGGAAGCATCTGTTCCTTACTGTTCCTTTCCTTGAAGTGTTCCAGAACAGGAGATAAGTTGAAGGTGTGAACTCGCTGTCTACACACTGACCTCTGCCTGTCATATTTCATATTCTCCAAATTCTCAGTTTCTTTACAGCCATTAACAATTGTTTCTTGGTTAGAATTAATGAGAAGCTACAGCTTTCTCCCCTGTTTACTCTAAACATATCTGAAACCTCTTGTAACTCACCTTGAAAATCTCAGCCATCTTTCGTTGCTGAGGCAGGGAACAGTGGTTCTCAATGGATATGATAACTGGCATGTCTGAGGTGATAAAGGCATTACGATCAACAGCTTCAACTACTTCCTGTAAAATGAAGCAGAATTTAATAATTGGCTATGACATTCAGAATAAATGTTATCCTGGTCCATGGATTACTGAGGAAAACTAGCTTCAGCAGGTAACTCAAGATAAAAGGCAGAAAAGCAATATCCTTGGAAGCCTGAAAGAAAAAAAGTTGTTGTTGTTGCATGCTGTAAAGTTGCATCAGATTTACAGAAACCCTAACAAAGTTTTCAAGATATGTGAAATATTGGAGGAATGGTTTTTACAGTGCTACCCTGGGGCGAGTTTCAATGGAGGAACAAGAGTTTGAAGGTCACTTGAGGCCTAGGCTGTGACTATTTCTACTACTTAGGAAAGTTTATTGGCAAGTTCTGGATTTCTACATTAAGAATCTAGAGGCAAAAACAATACTTTATACAGCTGTAGCTGAAGTGGCAGAATATAAAGTGCTTCACAGTAGCTTTTTTTTCAACCTAGGGAAGTTGAGACTGTAATTCAGTACATTTGAAGGGTACTCAACTGTGGGACCCATAAAGAAAACTGGATTTAGTCCTTAGATTTTGTGACACTGTAAGTATGATTAGGATTTTTATTGTTTTCTGCTAAGGTTCCTCTGTCACCATTTTGCTTTAATTTTACATTTTTGTTTTTAATTAATGTAAGGTGGTTTGAAAGCATTTGGACTAGAGCGGGCTAGTAGGCTCTACCAATAAATTAGTTAATGCCACTGCTCATAGACATATATTTCAGTGCAGCTCAGTAATTAAGACAGAAATATCCTTGCAACTATTCAATATTATTAGCTTAAACTTTTCTATTACGAAAAACTTGTAGTTTTGTCTCCTGCAAAGGACATTATGATGAATATGCACATACCTTAAAAGGAATCTTAGTAGTGAGTGTATGCCCATGATAAATCACAGGCATTCCATCATCACCATCCCAGCAGTCTAGTTCCACACTCCTACAACCTTGTAAGAGAACCTGGAACAAAGAATAGAACGGTACTGCATCACTTTCATAAAAGTTATGGAGAAATAAGTAAGGGTTTTACAAGATGAAGACAACAAAGTTTGCCCCCTTGTAAAATTCCATGAATGAGACAAGGCAAGATAGAATTCTTATCTTGAATGAACCACTGGATACAGCCCCAAAGTTATTAATTTTTTAGTAAGCATGCTATAACTGATCTAAAAAAGGGACAGAAAAATGACAGAAAAGCATTCAACTCAGGACAAAGCCATATTTTGCTGCAATAGGCTGCAGTTGGTTGGGGGAGAAGAATAGGATGTACAAGCGTATGCATCCTGACTGCATTATTTTTTGTCACATTTGTGTTCCATCCGGATAATCCCTCATCTAAATTGACCTCTAACAAGCGTAGCCTGAAAAGTCTTCTCAGAACACAAGTCTTTTTCCATTGTCATAGTTTACTTAAATAAAACAACTGATTTAATTCTTGAACTTTATATTGCTCCCTCAGCACGTGACTGATACACATATTTTAGAAAAGACTGCAGTCAAAATTTTAGAAACATATTAGCTGTACTCCTGCTGCAGCATGTTCCTAAGCCAGCCAGTTTTTACAGGCTTTCATCAAGGTTTTTGTGCCCTCAAGAGTAAGCTAATCTCTCCAGTTTTAAGAAAGCTAATCTGGCATATATGGTGCTTTTTGCACACTGTTTTAATAGAATGCCACTTCCTATATTATGTACTGTATTTTAAGTGCAAACTGAAAAAAAAACCCTAAAAGCTGTGAATGAAACACATGTTTGACACTACCACATATATGACATAGGTATACCTGTGAGGAAGTTGTAGCTTCTTCTTTAGTGCATATTGGGTAAGAAATACAGTGAAAATTTCATTTGAAGTTGTATGAATTTAAAAATTTACTTACACAAAGTCTGATGATCTTGTAGAAGCTTTGTTTTTGTTTTTTTTTTTACACATGATGCAATTCCAATATACACAAGACATAAAACTAAACTGATGGAAAGCAACACTAATATGACTAGCAGCTCACTGCTTGGAAAGAATGCCTAAGATATTATATAATATTCCTAGAAGCAACATTCTTCTGAATAATGATCTTGCTAAAATATAATCATGTTTTCAACAAAACTTACATTATTCTGAATGGTGCTTTGACATTTAAATGAACTAACATATTAGCTCAGTCTTTCCTGTGGGAAAGTCTAATTTTAGCAGGTTAGATCAGACTGGTTAGTGTTTCAGCTCTACAACTCTGAGATGAAACTCTTTTTTCTTATTTGCCTTAGAACAAAGCTTAAATATATAATCATTTAAAAAAGCATCTGAGTATAACTGTGCACACAAGCTGTTTTCCCACACATCTTGTTTTCCTATGTTTTACAAGCAAATACTTGGAACATCTAGGTTTAGAAAGCAGGAAGAGGTCATGCGTCTTTGACTTTCCAAATAAACAAGCAAGTCATTGCAGGGGAAAAGGGGGGCAGCAGAATGATTTGGTATACCTGACTATAAAGTTCTACCGAGGATTCTCCTTTAAGCTGATGTCCCGTGAGATACGTATTGTGCGAAGACTCAATGTAATAATATGACAACGGAAACAGCAAATCTTCCACATTCTCTTGAGATTTGTTGTTCATAGAGGCAAAGTTATCTTTATCCATCAAAAACCTAGAGATAAAAAAACTGCAACATTCATAAAGGACATACAAGAAAGATTAAAATGGATATCAAGGAGACTCACAGGTAATTACCGTGCAAATCCTTCAAACGACATTAATCCTTGCTGGCACATACTGATGCTGGGTTCAAACTTCTGTAAGAAAAAGAAAATCAATATATGGGGGGGGGGAACAAACATATAACTAATATGTCATATCTGACTTGTAGCAAACCAAAGAGGGTTTTTCAAGGTATGTGAAATGTCTAAGGAGTAGTTTTACCTTTGCCAGCCCCAGTGATTTCCATGTTTGAGAGGGGATTTGAACCCATGTCTTCAGTATCCTAATCTATCTCTCTATCCAGTACACTACACTGGCTGTCAGGATAGCAAATCCCTGCCATTTATTTACTAAGAATTAACAATTGTGTGCCATCAACTCAATTCTGACTTATGGTGACCCTTTCCAGAGTTTTTTTTAGGTAGAGGGTACTCGAAAGTGGTCTAACATTCCCTTCTGCTCTGCGGCTTGCTAATGCCATATAGGCTGGCTCTTCTGGAACGGACACGGGAATGCAAACCAAAGAAATGAACATGTGAGTACAAAAACATTTGCAACTGCAACAATTTTCTAAGAGAAGGGTTGCATTTTCTGGCAGGGTTGCAAGGGTGCCAACATTTTTGGCCATGACAGTATGTTTGAAAACATCTTGGCTAGCTAGCCAAATAAATACTTTCATGACAGAAAGCTCACAGTGAGAATTTTTTACAAGTTCTTGTAAAGCATATTTGCCCTCCCCATGGGCCCAATGGCCTCAAAAATGTGAAAAAGGTCACACTGCTATTCCTGGGAGTCACTAACAACAGTGAAATTTGCATAAAAACAGGTTGATAACCACCCCTCTCAAACTCAATTCCTTGGAGTCTCAAAAATCAAAAGTGAAGGTCAATGCCCAGGCACTTCAGCTTTTACTTCTGCCTCCTTCCCCACCGTGCTCATTGGCAGCCTCAAGGCAACTCATATCAGGTACTGGGATAAAAGCCAGACCTGCCAATGTGGCTGACATTGGTGATAGCTGTTGCTGGTGGAGTGAAAGCACTTTGCTACTGTGAAACCTCAATTTTGCTACTGTGAAACCGCAACCCACTGGAGACTAACGGAGAGACAATATTGGTATACAGGAAAAACACAGAACAAAAATACCAAACAATGTTGTCAATAGTTCTGTACTACAAACCTGAATGATACTAAGGATTTCATCATATGTGTAGTGTTCTCCTTGACAATTTACTAGGAAGTCATTGAGTTGCTGGATGCCCACTCCAAATATTCCCAGAGATGTGCTCTCTACTCCGGTACCATTAGTCACAATGCTTGCTGCCGCAATAGCATCAGATATTTGTCGCTGGTTGTCAGATAGTTGCTGCCTACTTTTAATGAACAAGCCCAAATCTGATATGTTCCTTGTTAGTAAATCTATAAGATAAAAATATCAACAGTTTTAAGCTTTAAGTACTAAACAGTAACATCCTTAACACACTTCATTTAATTTTTATTTCAAACTTACATGATTCAAATTATTACAAACCTGGAACTGTTATTCTGGGTTATATTTCATAAATATGAATTATAAAACATAGATCTTTAACTGGTATTGCTTAAATAAAACAAAATCTATGAATAAAAAATTGATGATATATTATGGGGAGAGTTATAACTTCATAAAGTTTGACTATGACAACTATGTTTGATTATGCAATATGAGCATGACATTATGAACATTTCCAGTAATATATTTCAAAAACCATAGCTACTTAATGTAATTCACAACACTTCTTTCACGGCACATTTCATCAAAAATTCTCTCTCTCTCTCTCTCTCTCTCTGTCAACCATACAGTATATATTTTACAAAGCCTTGGGGTGGTTTAAAGTTACAATTCCATGTTTGGTTACAAGTAACTAATTCCTGATTTGAGTGAGCACTGAGTGTGGGACAAAAGGTTTAATTGATTTACAATGTATCGCTAATACTACTATTTTAAAATTTGCTAAGAGCTTCATAAACATTTAAAGATTTCTGCCCTCAACAACCTACCACTGAGATCTGGTATCATCTTACAAATGGAGAAACTAATTTTAGAGATACAGTGGCAGAACTAGATGGGAGACCACAGCTAGAGATGGCACTTGAACTGAGGTGTTTCACACTGAAATACAACCTGTCATCAATTAGAACTTCACCATGTTAATTTATCTTACCCAGATCAGGTTGGAGTCCATTTGTATTTTCATCGATCTTCAGAGAGGTATAAAGTGGAGCAGAATCAGAGCCCAATCGATTGCAAGGTACAGCATAGATATCGAAAAGGTCCTTCAGATCTTTACGGCTTCGGACACTGGAATGCATGGACTGTTATTACATATTATTTTCAAACCACAGGTTTCTTTGTGTCTGTGCTCTTAAAAACGCAAGTTAAGAATCAGTAAAATAGGATATTACCTGAAAGACTTGAAAAGTTCAACAAATTCAACAAAGCTCATGTTGCTGTCAGAAACCATACAGGTCTGAAATCCCTTCAATCCCCCTTTAACTCTTCCGTGCCAGCTACTGCTACTCCATGTGCTAAAAGAAAAGACATTAGAAGTAATGAAGAATGGTGCTTAGCTAAGAGTAGTCTGACTCTTTACATTAAGAATGTCTTATTTATTCCATAGTTTTCCTTTAGGACCAATGTGTAAGAGGAAGTAAATGCTGAAGGCTCTTCACTCTGTACTACAGGATTACATGGGTCTGAGAGTTCAGAGGCCAGTTCTGTCTCCTCTGGACCTACAACAGGCGACACCATTGTTTTCAATTAATCTGGAAGTCCCCAGAAGCCTAGCTCCCTCCCTTTTTTTGCACCCAAAAATTGTGAAGGAGGACTCCAGAAATTGATGGAGTCCAAGGTGCAACCCAGAGGTTACATACATACACAAATACATACACGTGCGCACACACTCATGGATGTTTGCAACTGCAACAACTGATGCACGCACGCACGCACGCACGCACACACACACACACACACACACACAGTATTGCTCCAGCTGTACACTTGAATGTAGATAACTCCATATTATTTATTTAAAGTATTTTTAACCTATCTTTCTCCTTAAAAAGGACCCAAGGCAGCTTACATCATTAAAAGAGTATTTAAACTAACAATAGTGAGGATACAAATACTGAAAAGGACCAAACAAATAACCATACTAAAGAAATGGTAAACAAAAGCAAGACCAAACACATTCAAAGCAGTTAGGTACAATCTATTTAAAAACAGCACTCAGGCAACTAGTCACTAAGGAAAAGCTTGCCTGAAGAGAAAGTTCTTTGCTTGCCTGCTTGGGAAAGGACACCAAAGATGGAGCCAACCTAGACTCCTGTGGGAGGGAGTTCCAAGTTCCAAAGTCTGGGAGCAACAACAGTGAAGGCTCTCCCCCATGTACCCACCAAACACCCCTGTGAAGGTGGCAAGACCAAGAAAAAGGTCTCTTTTGATTACCTTAATGCTTGAGCAGGCTCATAATGATAGTTTTAAGATAGCTTGAGACCCAATATGCATGCCAAGAAATGTCAGGAAAACACATTCCTCCTCCTCCTCTGCCTTCCCCTGATATGCTGATATGCTAGCCTTTAATGAACACTGATTTAAAACAAAGAAAACCTAAGGTGCTTGCAGATAATTTTTTTAACAATTTTGCACACTGGGCTGTGGTCCAGAGTCCACGTATCATCACATTTCAAAGCTGCTATGTTTTCCCACAGCCAGCAGTGGCCAGTAATAACTGTACCAGGGAGGACCCAAAGCACAGTAACCAGTGGTTGAGAGAGCCAAAGATGAAAGCTGGAGATGGGGTAAAAGTGGTCATCTGTGAATCCACACGAATGGGTTAATCCATGCTTCCGTGGAGCAGCCTCGGAACTTTGTAGCTCAAGCACATAGTGCCGGGACCTCCCCCACACTGGCTATAACTCTGCCCCCGGCACCGAGTGCCTCAGTTCCATGGAACCGACCGCCGCTGCACAGCATGCAATGGCAAATGTGACGGACAGTGGGGAGGAAGGGCAGGGAGTGTGAATTCACAGACGACCACTCGAAGAACCAGAGTTACAGATAGGAAAGCTCTTTTTCTTCTTCATGATCTCTGTGAATGCACATTAATGGGTGACTAGCAAGCTCATTTACCCAGAGGAGGGACGTCATGAAAGTGCAGAAGCCAGGACAGCTCGACCCACCGCACCCTTAGCCTTAGTCCGGATATCTAGGCGGTAATGGGAGACAAAAGTAAACAGAGTGGCCCATGTGGCAGCTCGGCAGATATCTGCAATGTCTACCCCGTGGAGAAAGGCCATCGAGGACGCTAAAGCTCTAGCAGAGTAAGCTCTGACTGGGCCTGGAAGACGAGTCTCAGCTAAATCATAGGCAAGAGGGATGGTCTGGACTATCTATCTAGAGATGATCTGAGAGGAAGCTGGTGCTCCTATCGAGGGACCAGCAAAGGTGACAAAGAGTCGTCGTGTCGTATGGAAAGTGGCTGTGCGGTGAATATAATATGAGAGAGCATGCTTGATATCCAGGGAATGCAGAGCCTTCTCGAGTGGTGAGGTTGGTGAGGGAAAGAAAGCAGGAAGCACAATTTGCTGATTCAAGTGGAAAGAAGTTGAAACCTTGGGGAGAAAGGCAAGGTCTGGATTCAGAGTCACCTTGTCTGGGTGAAATTGCAGGAATGGAGGGTCTGCTCTCAACGCAGCTAGTTCTTCAGCTCTCCACGCCGAGGTTATTGCCAGGAGGAATGCAGCCTTGAAGGACAACAAGCAGAGCGAAGCAGAAGGCAAGGGTTCAAAGGGAGGCCTCATGAGTCGTTGAAGAACTAGTTGGAGCGACCACTGTGACGGTAGTGGTTTGTAGGCAGGGTGCATAGTTTTCAGCCCTCGGAGGAACTGCTTCAAGCTAGGATGTCTAAATAGCATGGCTGCTGGAGAGGATGGAGGCAGTTGTGTAATTTTTGGCAGCTGTGTAGACCTTTACGGTAGCGTGGGAAAGCCTTTGTCGAAATAGGTGGAAGAGAAATTGAAGAAGGGCATCCAGAGATGTTGGGCTGGAAGGTAAGGGGTGTCTTGATGCAAATCTACAGAATGCGTTCCATTTATAGGAGTAGGTCAAAGACGTTGAGGGCTTGCAGGCATGGATGAGCTCATCTGCTACAGTTGGGGAAGTCTCCAGGCTGTCAGGTGGAGGGATTCGAGATCCGGATGAAAAATCCATCCTTCGTCCCGAGACAGTAGGTGAGGGACCATCTTCAGCCTGATGTATTCCGCGATACAGTCCGAGCCAGTGGCGGTGGTGAGGCCACAAGTTGCTGCACCAACAAGCCCAACGAAAACTGTGGGCTGGCCTGTGCCAATTCAACAACCTCCTGAGAGGTGTTGCCCCAGTCAGGAATATCACTGATGGAAAGGGATGGCGGTGGCAGCTGCAAGGGTACATCCTCTTCCCCGAGGATACACTCAGGCTCACCAAACATTGCCAGGATATCTCCGGCCTTGGTGACGAGACCTCTACCACTTTAGCAGGCTTAGGTGTCTTTTCGTCTTGTTCGAACTCAATGTCGAAGACTGCAAAGGTGTCGACGCCGCGGCCGTCGACCTCAAGCCCGAGGACAATCTCGGTTTGGTTGCCATTTTCCCTGCCTTTTGGGCTGCAACTTCAGGCAAAGCTGCCGGAGATGGCTGCAGAGTTTTGGGGGAATCCATAGAGGTTGTGAAAGTTGGAATCGCAACTTTAGAGCCGGCTTCATAAAGTTTTTACAAAAGGTGCCTGCGTCTGGCTGATGTTCTTTCCCAAGGCAAAATAAACAATGGGAATGTCTGTCAGAAAGGGGAATTTTATTTAAGCAGACCTCACACCTCTTGAAGAGGCCTGGTGAGGCCATAAACTCAAAGTAAGCAACCCGACAATTAATCCATTTTTTTTTCTGTTTGCAGATAACTCACTGTTGCAAAGCGAGGTCAACGGTCAGAATCAAGCCAGGGAGGTCCAAGGAAGAGAGGGAAAAGTAAGATAGATCATTTAATTGAGTGCACGAAGTTCCAAATGAATCTGGAAAAGCAGCGGTTGAAAAGGAACTGGGGCACTCGGTGCTGGGGGAGAAGTTATAGCCAGCGTGGGGGAGGTCCCAGCACCATGTGCTCGAGCTAGAAAGTTCCGAGGATGCTCCACACAAGCATGAATTAACCAATTAGTGTGCATTCACAGAGACCATGAAGAAGAATGGAAGGCTTTAAGTTGGTGATGGGGGAGGAGGAGAAATCGCTCCACATTCTAGTCATTAAAACTGGGGTGGGGTTTTGTTTATGTCTTTTGCCTTTATTTGCTTGCTTGCTTATCCTGACTTTTGTAAAAGAGCTATGTGTCTTTTTCTTATTTAGCTATTTTTCTCCTGTAGTGGAAGAGGTTTTCCTTTTTGAATGATTTTTAAAATATTGTTATTTACTGTGTAATTGTTCTGTTAAATGTATGTATTTTGCTGCTGTTTTTCCATTATGCTGTTCAGAGGGTCTGTTATGCTTGAGTGAGTGGCACTAATACTGAACACATATAGTATTTTTCCTGAATTTTTGAGTGGTTTACTGCTTTTTGAATTGGTGGGTGGGTGGGTGAGCAAATTATAGTATTTTTTGCCGTGTGTGTAACTTAGTTGAAGGAGCATTTTTGTGTGGCCCTTTCACAGTGGTGTGTACAGGTGGCACTACCAGAAGCCTTATTTATAAACTAGTGCCTGCATATATCTAATAATTATTTCACTCTCTCATGAAATGTTGCTTGCTATTGGAGAAGATTCATTCCCTGTTGCTTTGCCTCTCTGCCACTCTCTCATGAAATGTTGCTTGCTATTGCAGAAAATTCATTCTCTGTTGCTTTGCCTCTCTGCTTTTTGGTGTAGTTTTTCAGGGTTTTGTAGGATTTTTGGAGTGCCAGAAAGCAAATGAAAGAGGTTTTCCCTTTTGTGTTATATGAAAGAATTAGCATGTGAAAACATGAAAATGGGGGGGGGGGACTACCCAAAAAAGGCATTAAAAATGAAAGAAACATGAACATTTTTACTGTACACATCTCTAATCACACCTCCATTTTGACTCATCAGTTGCTATGAGCCAGAGATTCGCAAAGTGAACCAGCAGCATCTGCCCCAAGGAACTCCCACTGTGACCCCCCCCAACACTGTCCACATACACAGAAAGGCCTCTAGGAAGTACAATTGGTAATTTGAGGCCATTTGGGGAAAAGAGGGTGACCTGTTTTAGGACACAGAGAGGCTTACTTCAAAAGCTTGCTCCAGTTTTCTGAGGCCCTGAGGACAAATATAACACACAAGCCATTGTCACTAGAAAATTACACAAATTCCCTTGGGTTCAAAGGTGTTTGGTTGTGGAGCCACAAGTTGGGAGTTTGATTATCCCATACTAAGCCTCCTTGACAAGGGCGGGACTTGATGATCCATAGGGTCCCTTCTAGCTCTGTAGTTCTAACATTATTATTGTTGTTATTCAGAAACACCAGGCACAGTCAGTCAAAACTATAAAAATATTGACTGGTATTATATAACAGATGCTAGTTTTAATCAAAAACTTAAGTATCTGTTAAATACTGGCACAGTTATGTATGCTGTTCCTAATATTGACAATTTTTGGTGTCTGTAAGTTTGGATCTGGAAATCGCACAAGATCTTGACTTTGCCATTTACTGGTATCTTCTCTACCTGATGTTCCCATGGGTTTTTGGAGGCTGGCAAGTTGTATTTTTGCATAATGGTCAGTGCACTAATTTTGCCACTCTATCATGTCTGATTTTGTAATCTGTTTTTGTGCAATCTCTGTACATTAAAAGATAAGTTGTGGCACAATTTCATCTTTCTCTTGGCAGAATCAACATTTTCTGTTACCACTAATTCCTTGGATTTTAGCTTTCATCACATTGTTTCAGAGTGCTGTTCTTGTGTAGCAAAAATCAAGCCTTCAGTTTTTTTCTTAATGGTCCCCAGTTTTAGCTGTGCCCATGTTGAATTATTCACATGCCTTCCAAAAATATTTCCAATATTTCTCAGGTGTTGTCCATGTAGTGCTTTATTTTTTCCAACTGTTTATTTTTAAATTGTTGTTACTTGTATTGAGTCTTTGTTTCAGTTGTTTTCAAAATATTCTCCATTTTCACTGCCTTAAGTAATTTTTCTCTACTTTTACCAACATAATCATTTAGGCTTAACAACAACAGCAGCAAAATCAAAAGCAACTACTACTACTACTACTACTACTACTACTACTACTACTACTACTACTACCAACAACAACAACTACAGTCCTCTATACAATTCAGTTGGCATGCACACACTAGTTCATTTTAGTCAATATCACACAAGTGAGCCAAGACTAAGTCTTGCCATCCAATGAAGCATAAAAGTTGATCTGAGATGTGACTGTAATTTCTTACATTTATGTTCTCAAATTCAAATTTCTCATGTTCATATAGTGGGGTTTTGACTTGAGAACTTAATCCGTATTGGAAGGCGGTTCTCAAGTCAAAAAGTTCTCAGGTCAAATCTGCATTTCCCATAGGAATGCACTGAAAACCATTTGATCCGTATCTGCTCTTTTCCGTCCATAGAAACTAATAGGAAGCTGCTATTCTGCCTTCGACCACTAGAGGGGGATATTTTGTTTCAGGGAAGGCTGAAGGTTCAGGGAAGGCAGGGAAAATACAGTCCAGGCAGGACAGTACCAGGCAGTCTGAAGACTGTCTCCCAATCCACTCTCTAAACGCTGGGAGGAGTGAGGAAGCAGACAGGCACCCTTTTCACTGGCCAACAGTTAACTGAAAGTTCAAATTTTGCACTTTCCCTGCCTCCCACATGTTTTTTTCTCAGTTCTTAACTCAAATCTAAGTATGTAAGTCAAGTCAATATTTTCCTATGAGAGTGGTTCTTAAGTCAAAATGTTCTTAACTCGAGCCGTTCTTAAGTCAAGATCCCACTGTACTCTCTCGCCAGCAAATCTGTATGCGGCAAAAATGTGGCTAGTTGAATAAAGCCCATGTAGCTGGCTAGCTGAGCTGTATTGTGCATTTACTGAAAATAAATGTTTGGCCTTGTGGCGATCACCCTGCTCTGGCTCAGGTAGGAGATTATTTGCATGTACCAATGAGAGCTGTTGGGAGGTAGAGCCAGAGAAACTAGAAGGGAGGGAATGAGTCAGAGTCTAGTTAGTTCAGTGAGAGACAGAGATGAGAGTCTGAAGTAGAAGTTAATCTGTGGTAGTTAGAGACGGTGTCCGAGTTAGAAGTTAAGAGTGTGGAACTTATAGAGAGCTAAGAGAGTTAAGAGTGAATCAAGTTATTACTACTCTAATGAATACATTAAAGTCTGTGAAGAATCTGTTTAATCAATAAACCTGTGTTGTTCAACTTTATACTCAGCTTGGACCTCAATCTTTCTAATTAAAGGGTGTTGACAGAGGTCAACTGGTGGTAGCAGAAAGGAGAGAACGTGTCGTAGGCCTCAGGCTAGTGAAACAACCTGGGGACACGGGGGTGCATCACAATTGGTGTCATCTGGTGGGAAATGTAGCATGAGCTCTTTGTTAGGTGAAACAAGCAGGGGCCGCTTAGTAAACATCAGACTTTTTTCCTTTTTCACAGCATAGGGCAGTTTCACTACGCAGCTAATAAAAAATCTTGAGTTTAGGGTCAGACACATAAAGGATAATTTGAAAACAAGCCTATTGGTTTCTCAGCCAATAAAACTGAGTCATTTTCAGATTGCTGATGGGAAAGACTATGAAGAAATTTTGCAAATTTTACATACCTGTTTCATAGGAGCATGTCTAATGAGGTAAGTAACGGCTCATTCATTTTACTATTTCAGTCCCAAAATGCATGTAGAATCATGCTTCCTTCTTACCTAGACTGACTCTTTATTGAGGATGACATCACAGGAGAAGATACTGGCCTGATGGGGGCTGAGACCCCAGGGGTAACATTAAGTGGTACTGAGGTAGTCAAGGACTGCGTTCTTCTGGAAGGCAGGGTATTGGTACCAGAAAAAGTAAGAGTTGGTTCTAAGAATGAAAGCAAATTTGTATCACTGCCATTGTTTACAGGTAAATAACATTCTCCTTCATGAAATAAATGTCTTATGTAAATGATAAGCAACAATTGATGTAAAAAGAATAAAAAGGGAGCAAACAGTTCTGAACACTTCTTTCTGTCTATGCTGGAGGACTCCTGAGGGGCTCTAAAATGGTTTCCAAGCGCATTCATATCATGAGAATTTGCACACTTATGTCTTTCCTCTCCTCTTTCAGGTGGCTAGGAGGAAGACTTTAGTTAACCACAATCTGACGTTTTGTCTGGACCAGAAATGTTGTTTTGGCATGGGATTTTCAGGGTATTTTTTCTCTACAACTATCACAATTCATCAGGAACTCCACCAGCCAGAATTCTGGCAGCTGTAGCCCATGGCAGAGTTCAGTCCTCTGAAGATGCCGGCCACAGAGACTGGCGAAACGTCAGGAAGTACAACCTTCAGAACATGGCCAAAGAGTCTGAAAAACCCACAACAACAAAAACAAAAAAACACAACAGTTTCAGGTAGATGTTTTGGTGAAGAACTACGCCAGCTTATACACCAGTGACTCATTGATAGATAGGCAGAGGTTAATCTGCAAATCCAATCGAATACTATTTCTATTTGTATATACAATATTTGACTTGTTGAAAGCTATTCCTTAAAAGTGACATCTGTGCATCATCCACCTTTGGCGAAATTCCCCAGAGGAACACTGTCAGGTTGTCCTTCTTTTGCCGTTCAGCTTTCCTGAAATCTGAGACTGAGCACTGTCCTAGAGCAAAGACATTTTTCAGTGATGGGTTAAGCAGACCCTTGTTTTAGCGATGCTTATGTTATTGCTATTTTTATGTTTCTAAGAGTACAATAATATACTTTGTCCCAGCAGATTATAAGTTCAAGTCAGGATAACAAAAATGAAACTGAGACTTCCATGCACATTCAATCTTTGAGCAGCTCTTACACTCTTCTGTACCGCCTGGCAAGCTGCTCCTCAATACAGGGAATAGCTGGGAATTATATAAAAATGGGAAGAGCTGTAGCGCTCGTGCCCACTGAGATGATTAATGTATGTCATTTGTGCAATAAATTAAGATAAAAAATACCTGATTCATCTTGCTCATCAATATCTTGAGGGTCTGAGCCACTTCTACTCCGGTTTTCCTTAAGAGGTCTTGCTTTTCGAGTTCCCATCTCATCATCCGTACCATCTCCACTTTCACCCTGAAAAGAGGCACCATCACAATATTTAGAAACAATGCATGCTTTCATAATCATTCACTCTGCAAGTTACAGGTATTGATAAAAATGATCTTCATGGAGTCATTATCAATTTGCTGAGGCAAAAAGACATAAGCTGTTTGTGAAAGAAAATTATTAACCGATGATTTGAGAGCCAAACTAGACGCATCATAGGACATTGTAAGGATTCTTGAAGACCCCCTCTTCCTTTCTTGGTTCCCCCACATAGATGCTTCAGAGTTTACCTCATGCTTTAACTGCTCAGTATTTATTAACTTAGGTCCAACAGGGACATTTGTAACAGTCTTGGTCATCCATTTCTCTTCCCCTTCCAACATGGAGAGGAAAGGATTCTGGGAACTTCCCTAACAGTTCTTTCTCTGATCGGTCCTCTAATCCAAAGGCTTCTGTGGTCTTCAGTTCTGTCACACGTCGTTCCCGAGAGCAACAACACTGAAAGCAGTGACAATGGTTCTCTCTCCCACCACTCTGTTTCTCCCTCTGTCTTTGTTATTCCACCAACTTGACTGCTCGGTCTGCCCTGGAGAGGAAGTCTCCAACACTTATCCAGTCCTTCCCCCTGTTCTGCCCTGGCCACTAGCTTTCTCTCCTTCCTCCATCTTTTGCACCTTTCTCTCTCTGCCCAATAAGAGGGCTTCTTTGAGGGTCAGGAATGTCATCTCCTCTCGGTTTCTTCCACTGGCACCATCATTCTCTCCCACTCCCCAGTCTAGGGGCTCTCCGGCACTATCTATTCCCATGACTGTTAACTTTTTTAAAAATCAGGACTCTCTATAGCATGTCTGATTTATTTGACGATCAGAAATCTCTGAGTAAATTTTATTCTTCAGTGATTGGCTGCCCGGGGATAGCGATCTGGGGGTTTTTCGGGCTGTTTGGCCGTGTTCTGAAGGTTGTTCTGAAGGGAGCACTCCCAAGCCAACTACACCAGAGCACAGAGTGCTGTCCTCTGAAGATGCCGGCCAAAGAGACTGGCAAAACATTAGGAAGAACAACCTTCAGAACACGGCCAAAGAGCCCGAAAAACCCACAACAACCATTAGATCCTGGCCGTGAAAGCCTTCATGAATTTATTCTTCAGTCATTAGCTCAAAGGCCTGAGTAGGAAAGTCTTTTGCCTGAGAGTTTAGCACAGCTTGATAAAAAGGAGGAAATAAAAAAACTTACTGCTTCATGCACTCAATTTGCAACAAATTATTTATTCTTCATTCACCAGGATTTCAAAACCACTATAATTCCACCAAGTCACATTTTGTTGTAGAATTCACTTACTACTAGATTCACAAAGTATGTATTGTATGGTAACATTACCTGAAGAATTGTGAACATCTCTTTGACTTTCAGCTTGCTTGCCATGTACTGTTTTTTTAAATCAAAAGCAACAGAAAAAAAAGTTCTAACATTTGTAATTTTTATTTTGCTTTTGGCCACTTTCCTGTGCCAGCTAATGTAATGTAGCAGGGCAGCGATGGTGAACCAATGGCATGCATGCCACAGCTGGCACGCTGAGCCCTCTCTGCGGGCATGCGAAGCATAAGTCGCCAGATCGCTACCCCCGGGCAGCCAAACCTGAGGATGTGGCTGCAGCTGCAGTGCTAGTGCCCCGACAGGTGGCGGGCCAGGATCTGGAGCAGCTGTACATTACCTCTGCTATTCAGCATTGCAGTGTGTGTGTGTGTGTGTGTGTATGGCAAAGGTTGGACACGATTGGAGGCGGATCCAGAGTGGGGTTTGGAGGCACCTCCATTCCCAGGATTCCCCCTTCTCTCGCCACTATCCACTGGGTTTTATTTTCCCCCCAGTTCGGGCACTTGGGCTCAAAAAGGTTAGCCATCGCTGTGATAGGGGAAGAACACTCTCTCTCTCTCTCTCTCACTCTCACTCTGCAATGCTGAATAGCAGAGGTAATGTACTCTGGTTGTCAGTCGTCTGATCCTGGGCAGGGAAGGAGGACTGGAATTCTCAAGTGGATTCAGGATATACAAGATGAGTAAACTCAACCCTAATTCTATGGCTAACCTTCAACATTCCCAGAACCAATTCAATATAGTTTTTTCCTTATCCTCATGGAGGAGGGTTGAACACCTTACTTAAAAATATTCAAAATGCACAAATCCTTTCATAAAACATAGCTGTGGTATAATTATAATCATAATGAACATTCCCCCTAACAAAAACAGAAGGCCAGATCTAATGGGAAAAACACTTTCAGTCGAATATATACAATTACAAAATTATCTGACATGCCATCTTGATTTCTTGATGTTGTGCTTGAATAATGGCACTCCCCGATACTCAAACATTATAATTTGAAAGATGCATATTGAAATGTAAGCTACTATCCCTTCATGAGTATTTCATTATTTTTTTCCAGCTACTCTAGTACTGAATGCTCACTAGAAAGTTCAGAAGCTTGGCTTGACTTGATTCTGCTTTGCAAATGAATGCTTTTTTTGGCATAGAGGAGAAATCATATTTTTTGGCTAGTCAAAATTACTATGAATGCTTCGGATGTATTATACTTTCCTTCCGTTTAGATTCTTTAATACAGACAAAGGTCCAGCTCAAAAGTCAAAAACAGAGGACTAAACATTCTATTTCCAGTTTAATTTAAACACAGACAAACTTTTGTATGTATTATGGGTATGCAAACAAAATCATCGGATTTTAAATAAACTGAATGCAAATAAGTCAAAGTTACATCTTTCTATTTATAATTATTTCCTGTCTGTTGGTGAATGCAGCTAATTATGCAGGAAATGTATTATAAAGAAGACTAAATTACCCATGCAACAACATTAAACAGCAGAACAGCCTACCCTCATGAGCACTTTCTTCTTTTTCTTAGCTGTGCTGATTCCCAGAGTGTTGTTCCTCTGCACACCTGGTTTTTCTATGTTTTTTGCCAAGTTTCCTGGGTTTGTATTTCTTGTACTCCAGCGCCTTCCTCCAAATAATTCAACAGCTTGAGCCAAGGTTGGGCCTTCATAGCGGCCATCCTCCTAATAAAAGATTCCTCTATATTATTAAACTGGACAAAAAAAAACTAATCATTTTCCATGGTGCACATACATGAAGGGACACAAGGTAGCCAGGATAGTTTGAGACACTTAGAAAAAGACAAAGTCTACAACTGTGACTGAATACCGGATTCAGTTTCAGAGTAATTCTTGGGCCACCTTCCACTGGTGGATGGAAGCCGAGAAAAAAGAATGGACCAAAAATACTATCAAATTTTAGCTTGACACATCTGAAGCCAGCAACTAAGCTTTGGGAAAGGCAGTTTTCCAAAAGGTTAAAGTTACAAAACAAGGATATAACAAAAAAAAAGGAGCAAGGGGCTGGCCTTCTGGAAACCCTGGAGGACCAGACTGTGATCTTAAGTGGACTGGACTCAGTCCCAGGCCTCAAGTTCCCCACCCTCTTATAGAAGTTCAATGGGTCTAATATGGCACACATTCTATATGATTTTCTGAGGAACCGGGGAAGCCGGACCTTGCTTTACCTGATAGAGGCTGACGTATTGTTTCCGGAGCCACTGTAATCTCTGATCAGGGAATCTCTTCATCTTCCTGACAGCATTCATTAATTCCAGCAATCCATCAAACAGCATTTTTGCCGTGTATTTTGGAGCCACAAAGTGCAACAACTTATTTTCAGTAGTTTGAAGGCCGTACAATAATGTTACTCCATTCTCTTCAACGGACATATTGCAAAGTTTATTCTGAATGAATACTGTATGCATATCGATACCAGAGTGCCCCATATACACAGCCTTTGCTGAAAACAGATCCAGGCAACCCTCCACCAGTCCAGTTAATCCAGTACTGCCAAGAAACTGAAACTTTCCAAGTTCAGCTGTGCTACCTAGCATACTCAGTTTCATTTTAGAACTTGCAGAGCAAGCAGTAGTGGGCTTTGTCCACGTCAATGTGCTATTGTCAGGCTGAAGTTGAAGGAAACAGCGTGCTGAAAAATGTGTTTCTTGGTCATAGTGTATTACTGTTGCACCTTGCAGCAAGAACTGATGGACATCAGCTCTAATTGAGAGCACATACCAAGGAATGAGCTCTATCCCATGACCGAAAGCTTGCTGCTGCTCTTCAGCTGTCGGTGTAATCCATTCTTTGGATTGCTCAAAAATGTCATTTTCAGAATCTGACAAATCTCCAGTTATAAACCTGCATGAAAACCAGTGTATAGTGAGCATTCAATTAAGGTACATGACCATACAAGGAAATTATCATTTCTTTAGGCATTATAAAATCAAATCTCTTTGCACAGATGTTAAAAATATTTATTTGTTACATTTATATACCACTTTTCCTTTACTGAGTTCAAGACAGTGTTTGTGGCTCTCCTCTTGACTACTCCATCCTCTAAACCATAGGTCCCCAAACCCCAGTCTGCGGCCCGGTGCTGGTCCGTGGCCTGAGCTGGACTGGGCCACGGAGACATACCTCCTGCCCCACCCCCTGCACACACTTACCCCTGCACAGCTGATTTGTGCATGTGCCCGTGCTCCAGTGTGCCTGTGCAAGTGCTGCACTGCCATTTGTGCATGTGCATGAGTGCCCACACAAGCGCCATGCCACCGCTTGCACATGTGCATGAGCAAGTGCCCACACAAGCACTGCCGTTTGCGCATGCACATAAGAGACTGCATGTTTGCGTGGGTGCTCATTCACGCATGCACATGAGCATGGGGGTGCCCTGCCTTCCCCAGCCGGTATGTGGAGTGAAAAAGGTTGGGGACCCCTGCTCTAAACAACCCATGAGATGGGTCAGGCTGACAGAACAGAACTGGCTCAAGGCCACCCAGTGAGGAATTTTATGGGAATTTGATGCCTAGTCTCCTGTCTTCATTCTTACCAGAATTTTCATGCTATTAAAAGGAAACAGGATTGTTCTAGTCTGAGAGAAAATGTCACTTGGGGATTAAAAGCCTTTAAAAATGAAAGCATACTGATTTTGTTTAATATTTGACAAATGCCATAAATTTATCATTTATTTTTTTTAGACTATTAAAATATCACATTTCCCTAAAGAGTGATATAAAGTGACAGAAATACAATATTGAAATAAACTAAATTTCAAAAAATGTCATGTTAATATTCACTTATGCATGAGTTAATTGTATATGCAGATATCATAGCTAAAATAATGATTATTTTTAATCATTATTCTTTCTTTTTATTTATGTGTGTACTTTTTTTACCAAAATAATTAATAAAACATATCCAAATGCTAGACCTAACTAGAGCAGACCCTTGAATCAATTAATAGTAAAGGTGGTGGTGGAAGTGGTGATGACATGCTATCAAGTTGACCCCTATTAGAGTTTTATAGTACTCTATATTATAAAGTACTCGGAAGTAGTTTAAATAGTCCCCTCTCCGGTGTCACTCTGGGGCTTTACAGCTTGCCCAAAGCCACATAGTCTGACTCTTCTCCCAGGAGGCACAGTAAAGAATTGAACTTTCTACCCTAGCTAAGAAGATTTAGGCATGTGAAAATACACAGGATATGATTTTATATTCTTGACTTGGGTGCAAAATAAAGCTCTGCCATGGATAGCAAGATATCTCTGGGAAGGTCACATACAGGATACAGCATCTTCAATCTGCTTTTCCCTCTTTCTACCAAATGAAAGATTTCTACTCGCTTATTATGAGGGAAACTTCTGGAAAAGTGTGGTTTTTCACATTATTCAATATTAAATGCATACATCAATTAGGAACAATATATTTCTGGAAGAAAAGCTACAAATGACTAAACTGAAGATATGGCAAGCCATTCTAAGCACGTTTAGATGTTAAAGAGTGGTGTGAAAGGACAAGAAAAGAGGTCAGACTGACTTGGCGTCAGATGTTACTCAACAAACCAGAAAGAACCGGTGCCAGATGATAATAATTCAATTAGAAACTGTTTGTCAGGAAGAAAAGATGACTTCATACAAATATTAAGGAAACAAACATATTTAGAATACAATGCTGTTTTTTGTGCACAAATGGACACGTATTAGACACTAGATGTTAAGTGGTTCAGAAAGACTTAGGATACTTGACACTATACTTCTGCAATTACGTTTAAGCGCAAGAAGTCTTAAGTTACAAGCGCTCAGTAACCATGAGGACAAGGGAAGAATTTCTTTGCCATGAATTAAAAGCAGAGTAATGAACATACTTAATACTTCTCCTGTTCGAACTACTCCTCCCAAACTTTTACTATAATTATGTGCCATCAAGTTTATTTCGACTTATGACACTCCTTTCCAGTGCTTTCTAAGTGTAGAGTACTCAGAAGTGATTTACTCTGGGACAGCGCAGCTTGCCCAAGGCTACACAGACAGTCTCTTCTCCAAGGAGACACTGCAAAGAACTGAATCCCTGACCCCCTGTTCAGCAGCCAGGTACCCAACTCATTGAGCCACTGTCACTTGCCTTTCAAGCACTGCATATATGGTCCTGCAGCCAATGCCCCATAGAGGGAAAGTGCTTCTAGCAAAAGCAGCCTCATCCCTTTAATTTTATGCAAAGCACCCTTATCCAGAGTGTTTTACAACAGAGGAGGGGCCACTGAGCCTCATTAGAGATAGCTGCAGAGTTTAAGTCTATCTGAAGAAAACTAACTGGCCAAGACACCTACCGTGTTTCCCCAAAAATAAGACAGGGTCTTATATTAATTTTTTGCTCCAAAAAAGCATTAGGGCTTATTTTCAGGGAATTTTTTTTCATGGACAACAATCTACATTTATTCAAATACAGTCATGTCAACTTTTTCTGGTTGCTGCACAATGGTGGAGGGCGGGGTTTCACTTAACTGGGGCTTACTAAGTTTTATTTTCAGGAAAATGGGGTAGATATTGGGCTAGAGTGTTACAAGTACCTTTCTGACACACAAATATGTCTCATATTTCCATCTATGAAACCTGAGGAAGTTGTAGGAGTTTGAATAGGTATCTGGATGAAAACTAAGAAGCCAAGGCTTAATCTAGATGAGACAGAAGTGCTGTGTTGGTAGAGAAATCTACCAATGGCCAGGATGATTTGTCTCAACTTTAGCTGATTTATCAGCTCAATACCACACATCTTGCTCTAGTTATCTATGCAATAGCTCCTGTGGTGAGACTGGACTACTGTAATACACCCTACACAGGTCTGCCTTGGAAGATGGTTTAGGAACTTGTACCAATGCTGAATGCAACTGTTCAGGGCTGACAGGAGATCAGAGCATATATCACAAGTACTGTACTAACTGTGCTGGTATTCAATAGGCTTCTGAGTTCAGTTCAAAATGTTGACCATAACTTTTGAAAATCCTAAATAATGGGTAAAATAAAGGTAATGGGATTTGATTTGACCAAACTCCAGGAGGCAGTGGAAGACAGGAGGTCCTGGCGTGCTCTGATCCATGAGGTCATGAAGAGTCGGACATGACTAAACAACAACAACAAAATGGGATTTGAAGCTCATCCAGACCAATATGATCCTGTGCTGCCACTAAAATCAGGAACTTAAATCTTGCTCTTAGGACTCCACTGGGAAGTCATGAGATTGCAGGGCATAAAAGCAAGGACCTTTTCTGTGGTAGCTCCATCATTGTGCAACATCCTGACAAACAAAATTTGCTCTTCCTCCCCACTTGTGTGTTTTCTAAATGCTTTTACAAATATCTGGCGATTTGCCACTGCCTTAACTGATTAGATTATAATAGATTCAGGTTTTTAAAATGTCAATGTTTAAATTGTTGATACTTTTGTTTACTGTTTCTTTTATATGGCACAGTTTATAATTTTCCCAAAGCTTTTGCTTTCTACAATGATACATTTTGGTGGTATTATTATAATAATGTTCAACAAACTCCATTTAAGAGGATTTTATAACCCTTTAGGTTGTTTAAGAATTACTTGAAACACTTTAATTAATAGCTGTTTAATCACAATACATCTACTCCTGGAATTTAGCATTTATTGGGCAAGGCAACTATTTATTTATTTCCTCTTCAAAGAAGATAGCCACTTCAAACATTAACTCTGAGAAACAATGGGTACTTTCAGACAGTGAATTCCCAGCCCCCACTCTATTTCCCCCCCTTCTTGACAGATTTTTCTTGGAGGAAAAAAGATGAAAGCAGTGGAAAAATATAGGACATTTACACATCTAGACCACACTATCCAGGTAAAATGCCATGTTGCAGACACATAAATTGCTAGATGAATGGCATCAAGCAATGTAATCTCACATTACACGAGCAAACGTCCATTGCATTGGCACAGTAGCAGATTCTTTCCCTCTCCTGCAGCCCCTTCTCTTGCTCTCAAGGGTCACCAAATCCTTGCAAAGCAGGTATCTGGTCAAATCTAGAAGCAGATCCAGGAGGGCATGCAGTGTCAAGGAGAAATTTGATCCTCCCATGCATTCATTTTTTGGGGAACAGAATCTTTGATATAATCCCTTGCCTGGAAACCTGCAGTGAGTGATTCAAGAAGATCCAGTGAATCTGAGAGAGGAGGAGGACTTTACATCTGGCTTTTGTATGACCAGGCCCAAAATGCTATCCATGATATGTTATAACAGTACAGTCTTAATAATAATAATAATAATAA